AGTGGAAGGATTCCAAGTCTCACCAGATGCCACCTGGATGTGTTAATAGCAGAGTAGGGCGTGGTTAATAGCAGAGGCTTCAGACTGGCAAACTTGACAGGTCTGAGTGCCAGCACCACCAACCTCCAGCTATTTGGCCTGGGGAAGATTTCTTACCTTTTGTCATCCTTGGTTTACTCAGCTGTTAAATTAGAATACCACCCCTCTCTTACAGAGAATGGGAAAACGAACCTAAAGGGGTTAGCACTGTGCCTGGCACAGAGAAGCACTCAATAAAGAGTTGCCAATCATCAGTTAAACATGAAGGGTTAGAAAAGAATCCAGGCCCTAGCTGGTTTGGCTCAGTGGATAGAGCATCGGCCTGTGGACTGAAGGGTCCTGGGTTTAATTCCAGTCAAGGGCACATGCCAGAGTAGCTAGCTCGATCCTCAGTGGGGGCATGCAGGAGGCAGATGATCAATGATTTTCTCTCATTCTCTCATCATTGATGTTTCTCTCTCCCTCTCCTCTTCCTTTCCTCTCTGAAATCAATTAAAAAAAGAAAAAGAAAAAGAAAAAAGAAACACAGGATTTTGAAGCTAGAACCATTAGGCTCCAAGAAGCAAAGTGACAATGTCACAAATTTAGCAAGGGGTAAAATCAAACTTAAAACCCAATGTCAAACAAGGTAGCTTGCTGTTACTCTATACAGCTGTGGATGAAAAGGGGCCATACACTAAACCTGACAAGCTCAGGGAGCCTGCAATTGGCAGGAGAGAAAGGGCTTATCACTTAAGAGACCAAAAGTAACCACACAGGGTAGTCTGAACATAAAAATTCCTAACCAAAAGCTAGTCATGGCGGTAGTCACATCCTAGGACTGTAGCTTCCTTGACAAAGGTCAATCTTTTATTTTTTTTAAATTTATTTTTAGAAAAACATCGATGTGAGAGTTAAGCATCAATTGGCTGCCTCTTGCATGCCTTGCCTGGGGATGGAGCCAGCAAAAGCTCGACATGTGCCCTGACCTGGAATCGAACTACAGTGCATGGGTCAACACCCAACCAGACAGAGCCACACCAGCCAAGGCGACAAGGTCAGTCTTAAATGAGCCCATCTGTTGTCTTTTTGCATCTAAGATAACATGCCCTTGGAGTGTCAATCTCCTTTTCCAGATCTCAGGGATACCTGCCTCACCAGAGCATCCTACAGAATCCCTCACCGTTATCTTGTTCCCCTGTGTGCAAGCTCCATGTGCTGTAAATGTCAACTATCTTCTACCCACCAATGTAAAAGTTTTATTTTTTATATAATCTCAGAGATCCCCTCCCCTTTGCTTTCTCCTTCCTATCTATAATGAATTTCATGTAAACCCCCAGCCCTTATGTCTCCTCCTTTGATTCTAATGTATAAAATAAGCTGTAAAGCCCTGGCCAGTTTTGCTCAGTGGATAGAGTGTCAGTCTGCGAACTGAACAGTCCCAGGTTCGATTCTAGTCAAGGACATGTACCTTGGTTGCAGGCACATCCCCGGTGGGGGGTGTGCAGGAGACAGCCGATCCATGTTTCTCTCTCATTGATGTTTCTAACTCTATCCCTCTCTCTTCCTCTCTGTAAAAAATAAAATATATTAAAAAAAATAAAATAAGTTTTAAAACTGACATTCTTAGGAGCATTTTCTCAATTTATTGAGATTTTGCTTCCTGGAATTTGTCTATTTGGCTCAAATAATCTCCTAGTCTCTACAGTTTGTACGTTTTTTATGATGACACAGCTGTTTGGTGGACTTACAGTATAGGTAAATTAAAGTGCTTTGTGAATAAGACACAGACTGTAGATAGAGGGTATTCATTGATGTACCTGGCATATTGCATACACAGATACTCTTCTCTAAACTTACACTTGGGCTAATATGCCTTGGGGCGAGTTCATAATTACACTACTATTGATCTTTCCTATTGTCAGCTGTAATTATCTGTTAAACTAGGAATTAAATGATTCTTCCTTGGAGCCTTCACTAGACCCCTGGTTCTTTAAGGTGGAGAAACAGTGCTATCATCTGAACTTTTTAAAAAAATTAATTTTAGAGATAGAGGGAGAAACTTCGACCTGCCATTCCACCTACCCATGGCATTTATTGGTTGATTCCTGTGTGCCCTAACCTGGGAACCTGCAACCTTAGTGTGTTAGGACAGTGCTCTAATTGAGCTAACCAGCCAGGGCCCCCTTCCTATTTTGAGAACCACTAATAGCTTTAGGCTATTAAGTTTATATTTGGCATATACAGTTCTCAATCTTTGCCCTTTCCCATGCTCACCTGCAGTAGGGGACCTCTTAGCATTAGAAAACATCATTATGCCATGAAGAGAATATGGTCACTCTGCCAAACAGGACATGTTGACAGAGACTGAGGCAGCATTCTGCAATGGGGCTCTTCTATTACCAGTTGAAGCCAGGATCCTGGGGACAGAGAGGTGGAGAGGGAAGGGGACTGAAGGATAGGACATCTCCAAGACTCTGCAGAGCAAGCTGGGCTCTGACCAGACAGAAAAGTGAGGAAATGGTTGTAAGGTCCTTTAATCCCCCCAGGTTCTTCCTGGTGAACAAAGACTGAGTTCTTCCCAACCTTAGACAGACATCAGGGACCTTCAGAACATGGGGTGAGAGGATGAAGCATAAAAGCCAGTTGCTACTTTACTAAGATACACACAAAGGCAGGTTTGTTCCAGCCAACAGGTACTCTAAAAACTGACCTTAAATGAGAATTTCCTAGTTTACTGATCACAATGTAATGCATATGTAAGCACAATGTAATGTGCTTTCACGTGTATTCCCAGTTTGGGGTGTGGCTTTCCTAATGTATAGGACACTTGGCACCTCTTTATAAGGTGTCATGGACATTTCGTGTTGGGCTCAGCAGGAATCAACTTGCTCAGAACTCAGCTGCCTGTGCAAGCAGATCCTGAAGCAAGGGCGTGACAAGATCATGTCAAGTCTGTGCGGCCGCAAATTCCTTGCTACAAGCAGCCATGACCGTGACTCTGGTCCCTGGAGCCAAACCAGCCACTCAGGAGGGCACAAGTACTGGTATATATACGGAGCCTGCATTTCCTAAGACAGTGACTCACCTTCCCAAAATGAGGGTGTGAACTACCAAGGAAGAGCTAGCAGGAGCAACCAGGCTGGCATCACCAAGCACCTTTCCTCTCTTGCCCCATCACTGCCATGTGCCCATTCTCCAAGCCACTTTCCTGGTCACAGGACTCCACGTCAAGGTACTCTAATGGCTTGGGATGTGATTTGAGGTGTAGTCCTTGACATGTGGTAAGGGTGAGGGCAAGGTGCCAAAGCACATGGGCTACACAAAAGGTTGGCCAGTGCTTCCCCATGATTTCCAGCAAACATGGGCCTAGTTAGTGCCACTCAGAGACCCTGAACCCCCTTACAGAATTATAGTCCTACAAGACCCGTGACAAAAGTTTAATGTGAAGTTAATAAGAAAACACCACACCCTGGTTGGGTGGCTCAGTGGGTTAGTGTTGTCCCGTACAACAAAAGATGGCAGGTTTGATTCCCAGTTCCAGGTTGTAGGTTCAATCTTTGGTTAAGGTTCATACAAAAGGCAACTGATGGATGTTTCTCACTTTGATGTTTTTTTCTCTCTCCCTTCCTCTCTAAAAAAACAAAACAAAAAACAAAACACCACATAACTGTTTTTCCATTATTAAAATTTATCAGGAAAAATATTTATCAAGGGAATAATCTGAGTTTTTAGAGGCTTGGTTTAGAAAAGTAAAAGACTAAAAACTTCTGGGAGGACGGGGGTAAGGGGAGAAATAGGAGATATCTGTAATATTATCAACAATAAAAATATATTTAAAAATAAAAAATAAAATTTTTACCCATGTCAGAAAATTAAAAAAAAAAAATTTAAACATTTTAAATTTTTTAACCTACCAAATGGGATCTAAGTTAAATAAATCCTCTCATGCTTTAGGGAAGAGACAACTTTCCTAAATCATAAAAGTTGACTTCCTTCAGTCACACTCTTACTTCTTCTGCCTTGTAATCCTACGAACTAAACCTCACCAAGGATGGCTTCTCTGGAAGTCAGGGTGGGTGGGATAAGCAGGCAATATCCTGCCCTGATCGTTTTGGCTCAGTGGACAGAGTGTCTGAAGGGTCTAAGATTAGATTCTAGTCAAGGGCATGTACCTTGGTTGTGGGCACATCCCTAGTAGGGGGCATGCAGGAGGCAGCTGATTGATGTCTCTCTCATCAATGTTACTCTCTATCCCTCTCCCTTTTTCTCTGTAATAACATCAATAAAATATATTAAACAAACAAAAACAAAAAAACAGCTGAAACGGTTTGGCTCAGTGGATAGAGCATTGGCCTGCAGAGGGAGGGGTCCCGGGTTTGATTCTGGTCAAGGCCATGTACATTGGTTGCAGGCACATCCCCAGTAGGGGGCGTGCAGGAGGCAGCTGATTGATGACTCTCATCGATGTTTCTGGCTATCTCTCTCCCTTCCTCTCTGTAAAAAATCAGTAAAATATATTAAAAAAACAAACAAAAAAAACCCAAAAAACAAAAAACAGGCAATATCCTGACACAAACTAGATGTAGACTCTGATATGTAATGTGATTATATAATTTATCATCCAATGAGGATACTTCTGAGAGAAAAAGGGGTGCTGTTAACCACTTGAGAACAAAAGGCATAAAACACCCTTGGACAAGGCAGTTTGGGAGACTAAATTTCCCAGTATGCCCTGCCCTTGAAAGTAGAACAAAGCAGTTGGGGACCTGTAGTTAGCACCATTTAAGAGGTAAATAGTAGAGGGCTGGGTGCTGGCATGGAAACTTCCTCCTTCCATGGGATACTTAACCGGACACAGAATACAACACCGGAGGTGAGATTTCAATGGATATTAAGTCTGGGGTAGAGCTTCTCTCCCCCCAACAACTTTAGCTTCGGAGCGGGTATTTCTCCTTTCATCGCTGGTGTCCCCACTGCTGCTAATCTTTAGGGGAATTCTGGGCCAGGTACTGTTCCCACTCAACTTCAACCAACTTGTACAGCTCCATGGTGGCCTGCGCGTCTTCTACAGAGGAATGCCCACTTTTTCCAGCCTGAATGACGGAGGAAGAGAAAAGCATTGGGCTATAAGCAAGTGGTGTTTTATATGCATAACCCATACACACAGACAATGGGGTGGTGAAGGCTTGCGAGGGAGAGAGTTGGAGAGGGCAATGGGGGGGAGGGCCATATGTAATACTTTCAACAATAAAGATTTTTTAAAAAGTGTTGTTCCCCCCCCCCCCCACCAGCTCCTCCTAACCCCTTATATAAGCAGTTGTTTCTGTAGAGCTAGTAGGCTGCAAAGGTAGAACTATGGTAGGACACTACTCCTTATTTAATTTCAAGGGTTCAACTCCTAGGAAGTCTGCTATTATCTGCCTCAATCCTTTCTCTGGCAACATGTGAACGCCATATTCTTCTACAATCTGCAGAGACAAGGCATCTAGATCATAGCCAGGCCTTCTAAGTCTTCCATTTCCCCCAGTTCCTTAACTCTCTCTGACACGTCTATACCCTCTTACCAGGCAGGTCACCCCTTTCTTGAAGGCCAAAGATGTGAAATAGCTCAGAGGTCCTTGCATCCATGCTGAGGTCTTTAGACCATCACCACTACCTGCTTTCCTAGTTTCTTAGGGTTTTACACCCACTTACAGTTGTGTTTTTCCCTTTCTCAAGCACAATTTGGAACACTGGTAGCGAACAGGAATTATTACCCTTAGGTACACATGGAGAGATCAATGGGCCTCTTAGCCCAAAGCTCTTCCTGTAAGGGCAGCCTGCCTGGATTTCTCTACAAAGGGATTCTGGGCTCAGAGCCTGGAGAGGCAGTAAGAGAGGGCCCCCCAGTGCGCAACACAGGAGCCTGGCAGCCTTTGGGGAGATGTTACCTGGATGTCTCGGTTCAGCAGCTTCTTTGTGAGGTGCTTCAGAGACATGGTCGCATTCTCGGGGCAGTCCGCCTTCCGGTTGAGAGGAGGGATGTGGGAAGTGTCACGGGTGAGAGATTTGGGGTGAAAGTACTGAAGGGCTTTGAAGTCATTGTGGATGGCATGTCCCACCACTATCTTCCCTGTGAGTATCTTCAAGATCTGAAATCGATGTGGAAGAGGTGGTAAGTGGGACTCAGGTGCAGCCCAGCATCCTAAAAGTCCATCGTGGTCCTAGGTCCTTTCAGTTTCTTTCCATTAAGTGCCCACCTCCTTCCTCCTTGAAATGCCCTCTCCCACAAACTTTCACATAAAAATCTACCTTCTCCCCACAAAGTGAAAGTATGTGTGTGTGTATATTATTTTTATTTTTCAATTACAGTTTATTTTCAATACTATTTTGTATTGGTTTCAAATGAAAGCATAGTGGTTAGACAATCCTATACTTTACAAGGTGTTTTGCCTGGTATTTCCAGTATCCACCTGGCATCACAGTTATCACAATATCATTAACTACATTCCCTTTGCTGTACTTTATATCCTCATGACTGGTTTTAACTGCCAATTTGTATTTCTTAATCCCTTCACCTCTTTCACCCAGTCCCCGAACCCCCCTTCCCTGAAAGTAGGTATTTCTCAGTGTTACCCTTTTTGGACTTACATCGTCAGCGGCTCCTTGCCTTCTCACCAATTTCCACTCCAATGATAGATTAACTTGCTACAGTCTTAAATCACACTCACATTCAAGATGTTTATGTAACTATATAGTTCAGTGCTGGCTTGCTACTTGAAGTTCTTTAAACATTATCATTATGCTGACTTTAGGCAGAGGCTGGGATAAAGGGAGTCAACGATGGGCTCCAGGGAGGTGACAGAAGCCCCAAATTACAGGCGCAACACACACACACACAGTTTTTTGCAGGGAGAGACTATGGCTTTCATCATATTCTCAAAAGGTGTACAAACCATAAAAGATTACGAATCACTTATCGCCCTAGTCAGTGTGGCTCAGATGGTTCAGCGTCATTCGGTGTGTGGAAAGGTCACTGGTTCAATTCCAGGTCAGAGCACCTGCCGATTGTGGGTTTGGTCCCCAGTTGGGGTGCATATGAGAATAATAAGATGTTTCTCTCTCCCTTCTTCTCTCTCTCAAATTAATAAAAACATATATATTTTTTTAAAAAGAATCACTTATAGACTAAGGTTGTAGAGGGATGTGGGTGACCCAGGCCTGTGTTATTTTGTTTTGAATGTTTTATTATTATTTATTTATTTAATTTTTTTAGAGAGGAAGGGAGAGGGATAGAGAGCTAGAAACATCGATGAGAGAGACATCAATTGGCTACCTCAGTTCCCGACTGAGGATCGGGCTGCAATCTGGGCATGTGCCCCTTCTACAATTGAACTAGGGACCTCTTGGTTAGAGAGTTAGAAACATCGATGAGAATCATTGATCAGCTGCTTCTTGCACACCCCCTACTGGGGATGTGCCCTCAACCAAGGTGCATGCCCTTGACCGGAATTGAACCTGGGATCTTTCAGTCCGCAGGCTGATGCTCTATCCACTGAGCCAAACGGGTTTCGGCTTTGCTTGTGCTGTTTTAACTGAAAGTCAGTTTCACTGTGGTATAGCTCTTCCTGCTCATAACCAAAGGGTATTTACCATCTGTTCAGAAAACTTATCCACACCAGACTTGAAACCAAATAGCTTCCCATGACTCCAGGATCCTAAAGTATGACATACTACCAGTGAGGACAACCAAAAACTATGCCATGGGCTCTGAAGGCCATTCCAAAACGGAGTTCCAAATAGGTTGTGAGCAAGAGCAATAATCCTAGAAAAATCAGTGCATGGCCTCCCTCTTGAGAGGGGCCAGACCTTAGTCTCAGACCCAGCTTGGGCACTGGGAAGTGATTCATGATGAAAACCAGGTGTAGTGTAATCAACTAAGTATTTAGTTGCTCTTGATTTCACCTCCAGTTTATTGTCCACCAACACCTTTACTTCGCATGAATTTCAACACACAGCCCTTGTTAAAGCTGAGGGGGTTTGCTGTCTCAGACCCACCCCACCTCCTGCCTCCCAAGCCTTTGTTCAGCTGTGCCCCTCATGAAGAGAATGTTCTTCAAGGTCGTTCTGAAGACTAGGGGCTCTCCCCTCCTGGGAGCACACCCACACCTTTCCTCTCTTCCTCCCCCGACGATGTTTCCTTTACCCGTCTCTCTCCTAAGCTCCAAGGATCACCGCCCCCCCCATTTTTATTTTTTATTTTGCCTCAGAACTTGTTTTCTGAGCCCATTTCTTCTAACACTCACTTCTTCACCTCCATGAATTCCTAACTAAACTTTCCCTTATAGTTTGAAAATAAATCTTCACTGTTTCACCTCTGATAAGCTTCCTCCAAGGGACTGTTTTGGCATATAAGCAATCATTGGAACGGAGGCGGCTGTCTAGAAGCCAAGAATGTGAAGCTGAAATTACAAAGCGGTGGACCGAGGGCGCCCTCTGCAGGCCTTCCCTGGTACACCTTCCTCTCTTGTTCATGTGTTGTGCTCCCAGTCCCCCCAGCACAGAGCTACAATGAGCAGGTGTGCTCAACGGGAGAAATTAAAAATCTGACACATCAACCCTGTGTCTTTTATCCCCTTCACTGCAGGCTACCTGTTCCGGTTACACAAATAAGCGCCAGCTCCTTCCGTAAACATTCTGCCTTCTCCTACCACCAACACAGCCCACACTTCCCGGGACCCCTCCCCGCCCACCTGGCTGCCCTCATTGCGCCCCATGACTCTCACCTGGCCCCGAGCGATCTTGAAGGGCGTAGCATTCACCATGTGCTGCTTGCGCATACCACTCCATCTGGTGCGGTAGTCCACAATGTGACAGGGCGGGAGGACGTACTCATCATAGAGCACATCCCCGTGGTAGTTGACGATGCTACATCGGGCCAAGGAACTCACATGGCCCTTGGGTCCCGTGCCCACCATCTCACAGTCAATCGCCACCATCTTCCTTGGTGTCTTGTGGGATGCTCCAGAGCATTTGTTCTCTGAGGGAGCCAGGGTGGAGTTATGGGGTGTATTCTTCTGAATAGGGTTCTTCTGGGGGTCCTTCTTCTGAGGGCGAGTTGGGGGGCTCTTAGTCTCTGGAAGGGAGCTCTGGAACTCCTCCAGCAAATCTGCCTTCGCCACAACAGAACCAGTCTTCTGTGAAGGGGCGGGGGTCAGCCAAGGCACAGACGCTTTCTTGTCCAGGGTGGGCTCGGACCCACGGCTCGAGTCTGCAGTCTTCTTCTTTTTTGGAAGGGGAGAAATGTTCCAGGTGCCATCCACCTGAGGGGCGACCCCTTTCTTTGCGGGTTCTGAGTGCCCCTTAGGCACATTGTTAGGGGGCTGTTTTTTCTTATTGAGAAGGCCTCTCCTTTCTAAGAACCGCCGCCTCCTGACAAATTTTTGGTGCTTGGCATTCCCTTCTGAAGTCTTTTTCGGGGGAGGTTCGCCAAAATCCAGGTTGAGGAGTAAGGTAGACATGAGGATGGTGTTTGGTTAGGAGAGCAGTTGCGAGGAGTGGCTCACCAATCAAAGGACAGAGGACTCATCCTCTGCTGAATCCCACAGGCCAGCATCTGAAGGTTGGAAGGATATACCCTGGGGAAGAAAGCGAACCTGATAACAGATCCCAAAGACCTGGGAGAGTTAAGACCCATCTCCATAGGATTCAGGGTAGGAAATAAGTCAGAGCAATCAGATAAGAGGGGGAACAAATCTGTAATGTGAAGTGACGGAAGGACTCTGTCTGAGACAAGCCCGTAATTCACCAGTCATATCCCCTCTCTAGATCTGTCCCACTTGTGAACGGGGGTGGGGCGGGGGGAGAGGGGGGGGTTGGAGGGCCAACCAGCTGGATTCTCTTTCCGAGTCCGGAAAGCCAGAATAGGTGGGCTCTACCCCGGCCCAGGGAGGGCGTCTAAGCACACTCGAAACCAGTGATGAGTGCGGCGGAGATGACATCTAGATCTGCCAGGCATCCCCAGCGCCGGTCGCACGAACAGGTGTACCTCCGGGTACGCCTTTGCCCCGTTTCCGGGCGGAGGCCACTTCCACGTGCTTCTCACCCACGTTCTTCTCCCAAGAAAGGACCGTTTACAACACACAGCAGCCGGGGCGAGGGGGAGGGGGGGAGGCCGAGGCCGGCGAGCACACTCTGGCGATCAAGAAGCCCGTCCCTCACCATCACCACCGACCTACCTCCCAGACGTGCCCACTAAGAACGGAAACGCTAGGAACCGGAAACGGAAATGGGCGCTGGCGGAGAGCCCGGGTCCGGCAGGCCGGCGGGCCGGCGGGCTGGCGCGCGGGGTGGAACGTGCCAGAGCTCGTGGGACCCCAGCCCCTGGGAGCGAGGTCAGGCAGTCCGGGTGCGAGAGCAGCGGCAGCGCGGCGAGGGCGGGGTGCGCTCCGGGCCCCTCTAGCCCCGCGGAGGTACAACTCGGAGGTGTGGGGAGGCCGAGACCGACGGCGACGGCCGCGCGCTAGGGCCCCGAGCCCCACTTCCGGGATGGGCGGGAAGTGCTCGGGGTGGGCGGGGCCTGGGCGCCGCGGCCCGCCTCTGTGGCGTCACAGTCGGGCATCCCACCCCGCTTGTCTCCTGCGCTGTGAACGACGCGACCTGTGATGTCAGGAGGACACCTCGGGCCTTAAGCCTCCACCTGGGACTCGGGGAAGGAGCGTTTCCGGCCCACGGAAAGGAGAAGAACGCTTTTCTCCCCCTCCCGCCTGCAGAGCTGAGCCCAGCCCGGGTCCGGTCCTGGGTCCGCGTGGTGCTGACCCCGCTTCCCTCCTCGCCGCGTTCTCGCTCCTGGCGCCGCCGACTGGACCCCGATGCCAGGCGTCTCCGCCCGGGGCCTCTCTCTCGAGGAGCGGAGGCAGCTGGCTGTGGATCTCACCCGTATCCTGTCTCTCTACCGGCCCCTCCTGGACGCCTACATCATTGTGAGGCCACGGGCTCGGGGACGGGGGGCGCTCCTGGTGGTGTGCTGGGCTCAGTGCCCACGACAGGGAGAGGATTCTGAAGGGGCTAAAACTAGGGAGATTCTTCCCTCCCCCCCCCCTTTTTTTTTTGTAGATGACACAAACATTAATATTTCCACTATCTAGATTATTTTTCCAAGTTCATAGTAATAAAACGCATGCTGCAGCTTCATTGAACTGTCCTAGGAACACGTGAGTTATTCCCAGAACACAAATTCATTCATCCAGGCTTTGAATCAATTCCTGGCTTTGTAATGTAATGGACAATTTAAGTTTTGGAATTAGCCAGGTTCCAACTAGAATCCCGCCCCCCCACCCCCCTACTGTGTTAACTTACATAGGTGTGACATGAGAATTCCTCCTAGCCCGGTTGCTCAGCTGTAAAATGGACTCCTGTTGGGAGGGTCTTTGTGAAGAATAAATGAGATGATGTATTAGTGTCACCAGCATCCACTGAATCGCTCGGCCCCTATTCCATTCTTGATTCAGCTCTTTCCTTTGCTGATCTATAGTCCCATCCTTCCACAATGCCTGTGGACTCCACCTGTAAGAATTTACCCATTTGTCTCCTTTTCATTGCTACCGTCCCGGGCCAGCCCACCATCACCTCTCCTGGACTGCGTCCTAATTAATCTGTTTACTTTAGCCCCTCCATAATCAACTCTTCACAAGCAGCCATGTTAATCTCTTTAAAGAAAAGTCTGCCGAAACCGGTTTGGCTCAGTGGATAGAGCATTGACCTGCGGACTGAAGGGTCCCAGGTTTGATTCCGGTCAGGGGCATGTGCCTTGGTTGCGGGCACATCCCCGGTGGGGGGTGTGCAAGAGGTGGCTGATCGATGATTCTCTCTCATCGATGTTTCTAACTCTCTATTCCTCTCTGTAAAAAAATCAATAAAATATATTAAAAAAAAAAAAAAGTCTGATCATGGCAGTCCTTGCTTCCTCGGTGATTTGATGAAATCCTAACTCTCTACCAATATCTGTCATGCATGTGAAGCCCTATGGGATCTGTCCCCTGCTGTCTCTGAATCCTATCGCATTTCATTCTCTCCCACATTCGCTAGACTGTACCTCCAGCGGCCTGATTTCTTTCTTTCTTTTTATCCTCACCCAAGGATATTTTTCTTTTCTTCCTTCCTTCCTATTTTAAAAAAATATATATTTTATTGATTTTTCACAGAGAGGAAGAGAGAGGGATAGAGAGTCAGAAACTTCGATGAGAGAGAATCATTAATCAGCTGCCTCTTGCACAACCCCATTGGGGATGTGTCCGCAACCAAGGTACATGCCCTTGCCCGGAATCGAACCCGGGACCCTTCAGTCCACAGGCCGAGGCTCTATCCACTGAGCCAAACCGGTTTCGGCGCTTCCTTCCTTCCTTCCTTCCTTCCTTCCTTCCTTCCTTCCTTCCTTCCTTCCTTCCTTCCTTTCTTTCTTTTACGTGGTATATACCCAAAACTCCATAATTTGTGTTCAACAAGTGAGTGAATAAAAATACATTCTGGCATATCACGTGTCTGACATATGTACCGGTAGGTTACTGAATGGTAACATGCTAACGCTGCCTGTTAGTCACTGTGTGTTAGGGATGGGATTGTGAGAATCACCATCCGTGCCCTGAGGTTCTTCATGCAGTTGAGTGGAGAAAGCAGACAAATAGTGGGATGTTGCTAAAAGCAGAGGTGTGCTCTGAGTGCAGGCTGGGCTCTGAGGAAGGAGTGGGGGCTGGAGTGGGCTTTAGAGAAGGGGTGACTCGGATAAGTGGTAGGTGCCTGCTGGTTGCAGCCAGTGGCCTGCGTTGAGAGTGGGGTGGGAGAGAATGGGAACGGGAGTAAGTAGCCTGTTGATCGCTTCTCCCCTTCTGCAGGAGTTTTTTACCGACAACCTGTGGGGCACTCCCTCGCTCATGGCAGGAAGCCTTGGATGGACTGGACCCACCACAGCTGGCCACCCTGCTGTTGGGGACGCCTGGGGAAGGGGACGTGGTCAGGTATGGGCAAGGGGGGCCCTCTGCTGGGGGACGTGGCCCTGAACCCTGTAGCCAGTCACTGCTCAGAGGGTCACCCAGGGGACTCCTGGGTTGTATAATACATGGGTGCCCCCAGGACACAATGGGACTGTTCACTGGGGTTCTGGGCCGGGCTGTCTCAGGTACAGGTCCGTGTGGCCACTCACCCTGCTGGCCCTGAGGTCCACAGCCCGTGCCTTGGCCTTCACCCGGACACCTAAGTTTCAGACCCCCTCCGAGTTCCGGGAGAACCCGAGCCAGAGCTCCCGACTGAAAGCTCCGTTCCGAAAACACGTCCGGCCCAAGAAGCAGCATGAGATCCGGCAGCTGGGCGAGGTGAGGCCGTGCCTGGGGCGAAGGGCGTGTCCGGGAGCCTGGCGCCTGAAGCCAGCGGGTTAGAGCTGTGGGCGCCTTCTGTGACCTGTGGTCCCTTCCTTGGCAGGCATGCCAAAATCCTAGCCGGATGCTGGTTTGGGGGATTTGTGGGTTTTTGTTTTGTTTTTCATCCTTTTGCTGGGTTGCTTGGTAGCCTTGTCTGAGTCACTGTTTTATTCCTGTGTTCACACCTCCCTAATCTGTGCCCGGCTTCACAGAGGGGCTCCTTTTGCTCTTGGGGAGGCTGAATCACTGACCTTAGAGGAGTGAGTGCAGCCTGAGCCCAGAGTCAGCATCCCTCTTTCGGTTTTCCTACCTCCCGTCTCCCAGGCACCCGCTACCCCTCTTCCTCTGCCGGCTTAACCTTCCCCACCCTCTATGGCTGACGGTCCCGGGAATCAAGAACCAACGGCCAAGAGACCTTTGCTCCCTTCTGTTTCAGTTGGTGAGAAAGCTGAGTGACCTTACAGGCTGCACCCAGGTTGTGGATGTGGGCTCAGGCCAGGTGAGCCAGACAGACCCTAACGTTCTTATTTGTGTTGTTGTTGTTGTGTGTGTGTGGAGGGTGTTGGAGGTTTGAGTCGTGGGGATAGAACAGCTGGAAGGCAGCAGGCGCAAGAAGTGACAGAAGTAAACAGGGTAGAAGTTAAGCCTCCGGGGCGCCTGGGACCAGGTGTCTAGGCCCCTGGAAGAGGTGACAGCAGATCAGAGCACTGAGCAGGGCTGTCTCTGCCCTCCCTCTCACGACTCCAGGGCCATCTCTCCCGCTTCATGTCTCTGGGGCTAGGGCTGAGGGTGAAGAGCATCGAAGGGGACCAGAGGCTGGTGCAGAGAGCCCAGCGCCTGGACCGGGAGGTCCTGCAGGCTCTGGAGAAAGAGGAGAAGAGGAACCCGCAGGTAGGCCTGCCTGCTGGAAACCTGTCGTTGTCACTAATACAGAGATGTGCCGGGAGGCCGGTCCACCCTCATCGCTCTGAAAGGTCGGAGCTAATCATTGCTTAGTGGAGACTTTGGTAGCTAGAGCAGCCTCCACCTGTTACTCTTCTGGAAATTCTTGCTGACTGGCGATTGTTGGAATTTCCTGCCTAAAGGATATGGGTGTATCCCATAACCTTAATAAAAGGGATAGCAAGGCGGTAGTCCTCCCACTAGAGGTGGGCTCCCGCCAGGCCCCCAGTATCGCCAAATTAATACTTTCCCAGTCTCTCTTCATTTGTGTGCGGCCTTCTCCAGAACCCGAACCCTGAACCGGAACCCTGAACCGCACCTGCCCTTACTGCAGCGGCGGGGTCGGCCTGGCTAGATTCCCTCTTTCAAGTGTTTCAGCTCGAGATGATGTGGTCTCTGTCTCCGCTCCCCCTCCCCCAGGTTTCCCTTCGCCACAGCCTCTCCGCATCTTACAGGCTCTCTCTGTCCCAAAGTGCTTTCCGCACGGGTCCGGCCGTCTCACAACCACCCGTGCAGTGGCCAGTCGGGTATTGGACTCATTACAAGAGGAAATTGGGACTCAGACATGAAAATTTGGCCGTTATGACAGATCCATCATGTATCCCTTCTGGTTCAAGGTCTAGCTCTCCCCGGTGCCCCAGCTGCTTCTCCATCTCCTTCCTCCGGACGGAGCACAGAGGCCAGGCCCCTCCTGCAGCCTGAGGCGGCGTGGGGACAGCAAACAGAATCCCCAGCTGCCTTGTCCTTTTCTCCCTCCGCAGGTGGTGCAAACGCACTCTCCCCGCTCCCCGCACCATGTGGTTCAGTGGGTAGATCCCGGGACCCTGTGTGAGGAGGTTCTGCTCCCGCTGGAGACCTCCCCTCGGGGCGAGGCCCGCTTGCTGCTGACGGGGCTCCATGCGTGTGGGGACCTGAGTGTGGCCTTGCTGAGGCACTTCTCGTCCTGCCCTGAGGTGGTGGCCCTGGCCTCCGTGGGCTGCTGCTACATGAAGCTGAGTGACCCCGGCGGGTACCCGCTGAGCCGGTGGGTGGCCGCGCTGCCCGGCTGCGACCTGTCCTACCGGCTGCGGGAGGGGGCCTGCCACGCCCTGGAGGACTACGCTGACCGGCTGCAGGAAGCAGGCCCTGGCCTCCGCACCCACTGCTACCGCGCAGCCCTGGAGACCGTCATCCGGCACGTCCGGCCCCAGCTCCGCCGGCCAGGCATGCAGGGCATCCCCAGGGCCCACGAGCTCGGGATTGAAGAGTGAGGCTGGAGGAGACTGGGGGGAGGGGGTGTTGGGAGCCCGCTGGAGGTCCGATTCCCCTCCCACGACCCCATCCCGCCTGTTAGCAAGTCCTAGTGAAGCGAATGCTGCCGGGGGAGGGATGGAGTTCTGACTGGGCCAGCTTCTCAGCATCCCTTTAAAAGGGAGTTGTCATTCTTTTACCAGTCGACTATCAAGACTCTTAAATCTTAAGAATATGGCTAATTGGACAGGTCTGGCTGAAAATACATTTTTGGATCCATTTGTTACTGGATAGACAACTCGTAGCCAGAGAAACATTTAAAAGTGCAAAGGAGGCCCTGCCTGGATGGTGTGGCTCAGTAGGTTGGAGGGTCGTCCTGTGCACCAGGATATGCTGCAGGGCTACGGGCTGCGGAAAGCCGGCCCTGTGCACGGGAATGCCGCAGGGCTGCGGAAAGCCGGCCCTGTGCACGGGAATGCCGCAGGGCTGCGGAAAGCCGGCCCTGTGCACGGGAATGCCGCAGGGCTGCGGAAAGCGGGCCCTGTGCACGGGAATGCCGCAGGGCTATGGGCTGCGGAAAGCAGGCCCTGGGCCTGGTCTGGTCAGGGCACATGCGCAGTTTGCAGGTTTGATCCCCACCCAGTTGTGCTGAGTAGGGGAGGCAATCAATCAATGTATCTCTGTCACGTTTCCCCTTCCTCTAGAATCAATTAACAAAAAGGAAAATAGAAATTGGGGTAGCAAATCAAGCAGAGTTGGAATAAAGCAGGAGTGGACAGTCTGAGTGGGAGGCGGAGGCTCTAAAGCCAGCTGGGTGCTGTGTGGCTGACCCACAGGTACGTCCAGCGGGGGCTGCAGCGCGTGGGGCTGGACCCCCAGCTGCCGCTGAGCCGGGCTGCTCTGGAGGCCCAGCAGGCCCAGGAGAACCGCGTGGTCGCCTTCTACAGCCTGGCCCTGCTGCTGGCCCCACTGGTGGAGACGCTGATTCTGCTGGACCGGCTGCTGTACCTCCAGGAGCAGGGTGAGGGTGGCCTACAGGGGGGACCCAGGGCCGGGGGGCTGGGTCTTGGGGTTCCTCCCTCAGGTCCCAGGCAGCACCGAGGACTGCCTCCTCCCAAGTCAGCACCTCAGGCACCGGGTCTCCTTAGTCTCCTGGAGCCTCTGTGGGGGAAGGGCAGTGCCTGCCTGCAGCCTCCGCACGAAGTGGGGCCGAGTGGGCTTCCCTTCTACCCTTCTTAGTCGTCCTGCCTTTCTCCCAGGCTTCCATTCCGAGCTCCTGCCCATCTTCAGCCCGGAACTCTCTCCCAGAAACCTGGTGTTGGTGGCTACCAAGAGGCCGCTGGGCCCGGCCTTCTCTGTCCTGGAGACGGAAGACGCTGATGCCTGCTGAGGAAAGGCGCATCTTGGACCCCATCTGAACCCACCCAGGTGCCACGGTGGGTGGCAGTCTGCACTCTACCCAGAGGCAGCATCCTGCATCCTCCCGGAATCATGGTGTCCCACAGACCAGCTTCGTACCCTCCCTCCATGTGTTATATTTGTAATATTGTGTATAAGCATATTTTTAACTTATTCAAAAATTTAAATCTTGCCCTGGCTAGTGTTGCTTAGTGGTTAGTGTTGATCCTCGCACCAAAGGGTCAAGGGCACGTAACTGGATTGCAGGTTTAATCTCCTGTCTCGGTGCTTGTGAGAAACAATCAATTGATATGTGTCTCCTATCAATGTGTCCTCCCCCACTCCCTCTAAAACAAAGGAAAAAATATCCTCAGGTGAGGATTACTAAAAAAGAATTACAGCCGAAACCGGTTTGGCTCAATGGATAGAGCGTCGGCTTGGGGACTGAAGGGTCCCGGGTTCGATTCCGGTCAAAGGCATGTACCTTGGTTTCGGGCCTATCCCCAGTAGGGGGTGTGCAAGAGGCAGCTGATCGGCCGGGACCGGTTTGGCTCAATGGATGGAGCGTCGGCTTGGGGACTGAAGGGCCCTGGGTTCGATTCCAGTCAGGGGCATGTACCTTGGTTGCGGGCATATCCCCAGTAGGGGGTGTGCAAGAGGCAACTGATCAATGGCTCTCTCTCATTGATGTTTCGAACTTTCTATCTCTCTCCCTTCTACTCTGTATAAAAATCAATAAAATATATTAAAAAAAAAAAAAGAGGCAGCTGATCGATGACTCTCTCTCATCAATGTTTCTAATTCTCTATCTCCCTCCCTCTCTGTACAAAATCAATAAAATATATTAAAAAAAAAAAAAAAAAAGAATAACAATATTTATTTCCCTTCCACTTCCACTAAGTATAGAAAAGGACATGGGCATGTTCCCTACTTAGATCCTGCAGAGGTGCAATCATCAGATCTCACACCCCCATCCTCTGCCCTCCGGTTGCTCAGAGGCCTCCATTGGAGGGACCTCTCTCCCTTTGGCCTCTGTAAGCCCTGCCCTTGGGAAGGCCACCTTAGGGTAGCCAACGTCCACTCCAGATTCCACAGTAACACTCGGACAGACGCCCTCTTCCTTCAGTCCCCGAAACAGGTACATGGGGTGAGGGGAACCAGAGACGGCAGCTGCGCGGAGAGGAGGAACCATGGCTCTTTATTGATGTCTGAAGAGGACGTGGCCCCGGCCTGGGAGAAGCTCCCCCAGCTTCAATACCAATAGACTTTCTTGTGCCTCCGAGTCTCCTGGATCCCCATGGCCTCCATCACCTCTTCTTCCAGGGTCTTCAGCCGGGGCACGTAGGTCCTTTCCAGGGCATCTTCCACTGACGTGTCTTTAGGGCCATCTATCGAGGAAGGAAGACAAGTGGGAGGTCTTAACATCTTTTATTCCCACTTTTGTCCTCCCCAACCCCCATCCTCCGGTCCGCCACCAGCCTCACCGATCCATGTCTCGGGGACGATGCCATCGGCTCTGGGAAATTCCGGTTTGGGGATAATTCTTCCTGATCTCGTGGAGACGCGGACCCGCTCGCCTGCCTCGGTGAACCTCCACTCCACCTCAGTGGGTTTCCTAGTGGATGGAAGAGGCGAGCCTGGCCTGGGAGCCAGGGCTCCCCGCTACTCTGAAACCTAACATTCAATGGCTGCAAACACTGAGGCCGCCATCTGGTTCCCCTGCTGCCTCTGTACTGGGATTGCCTACAGGGTCACGTCCCACAAGAGCATCCAAACCACCATCCACACGAAGGGGAAGCATCAGACCAGAACCCCACGCGCTTGCCTGTCCACGGGATCCACGAGTTTGACCTGGTGGTGGAGCAAGGGCGCTTCGCTAGGGATCATGGTTCCTCGGAAATCCGCGGTCCTGCCGATGTAGCGGTGATGCTGTCCAAGAGAGGGGTCACCAGGAACCAAAGGGAATGAAAGCGACCTGCCTACTGCAGCTCTGCGCAGCCAGTCCACGTGGAAACACAAGGCTCAGCCGAAACCGGTCTGGCTCAGTGGACAGAGCGTCCGCCTGCGGACTGAAGGGTCCCAGGTTCGATTCCGGTCAAGGGCATGTGCCTTGGTTGCGGGCACATCCCCAGTAGGGGGTGTGCAAGAGGCAGCTGATCGATGATTCTTTCTCATCGATGTTTCTAACTCTCCATCCCTCCCTCTTCCTCTCCGTAAAAAAATCAATAAAATATGTTTAAAAAAAAAGAAAAACAAGGCTCGGCGAGCACCAGGCCCCGTGCTGCTCTCACTGACAGGGAGACGGGCCAGGCGTCCTGAGCACCCGCACCCGACTCCTCGCTCACCGTATTCAGCCCCTCCAGGACCACCCAGTTGCGCTCCCGGATGACTTGAACCACTTTGCCTTGCTTCCCGGCATCCTTGCCTTCTAGAATCTCCACCTGCGGCAAAACACGAGGGTCAGAGAGGAAGATCCTTCCCCAGGGCCCTCCCCCCCCTACTCCACCCCTCCCGAGGTCCTCACCCTGTCCCCACAGAACAGATGCCAGTCTTCGTCGGAAATGGGTTCCACCAGCACGGGGGGCCGCCTGCTCCCAGGTGGGTTCCTCCTCTTGGCTGCCATGGTGCCTGGGCGGCTCATCCCATGGCGGTAGTGGGGGGGCAAAGTGACCTTGGATGCCAAGGCCAACAGGGCTGAGAGACGCATGGCTGGAGGCTGTGAGAAGTCCCCTGGCCAGGGAAAGACCCAGAACCTTCCTAGTCAGCTCTAGGAGTAGACAGGTGGAAGGAAACAAGGGGACAAAGAAGCAAAGGAAGGGATTTTTTGTAAGTATTTACTCCACTGCTCAAAGGACCTCATCTCGCTGAATTCCCCAGAGTATTACCTTCATTCTACAGATGAGGAAGTAGATCCAGGGAGGGTAACTGACCTGCCCATGGTTGTAAAGCTACTATGGAGGAGAATCAGCATTCAAACCCACATACATCTGACTTCAAAGCCCAAAAAGTTCATTGAGGCCAGGAATCATATTATCTAGCTCACCCCTGAATTCAACAGATCTCAGTAGAGCGTGGCACATAGCAGGTACTCAATAAAAAGTTATTAACCCCTAGCTGGTTTGGCTCAGAAGATAGTGTCGGCCTGTGGACTGAAGGGTCCCAGGTTCGATTCTAGCCAAGGGCACTTGCCCGGGTTGTGGACTGGATCCCTAGAGTGGGGCGTGCAGGAGGCAATTGATTCATGACTCTCATCATTGATGTTTCTTTCTCTCTCTTCCTCTTTCTTCCTCTCCGAAATCAATAAAAATATATTTTAGCCCTGACCGATTTGACTCAGTGGACAGAGTGTCGGCCTATGGACTGAAGGGTCCCAGGTTGGATTCTGGTCAGGGGCATGTGCCTTGGTGAAGGGCATGTCCCCGGGTGGGGGGGGGGGGGAGTGTGCAGGAGGCAGCTGATCAATGTTTCTCTCTCTCTCCCTTCCTCTCTGTAAAAAAAAAAAAAATCAATTATATATATATATATATATATATATATATATATATATTTTTTTTTTTTTTTTTTAAGTTACTAAGTACACAAACAGCAGGATTTAAAGAAAACAGGTAATGGAACAAAACATTAGCATAAGGCCAAAAAAACAGGCAGTTATTCAAGTACAACTAACAAACAGGGCACAGAGGTAAAAACTGTTATTAAAATGTTCCTACATTACTTCCAATTCCTATCTTCCATCAGGAAAAGACTACTCCTAAGCCAGCTTCTTTTCTAAAAGGACCCAGAGCCAGACTCTAGGGTTACTGTGTCCTAAATTTCCCAACTATGTACTGTAAGCTTCCCAACTTTAGATGATGAACTAAATCAACAAGGTGGTGAACTGAAGGCAAAAATAAGTGCTTCTGTTTTTTAAATATATCTTATTGATTTTTTTATAGAGAGGAAGGGAAAGGGATAGAGAAACTCTTTTTTAAAAAAAATATATTTTATTGATTTTTTTACAGAGGAAGGGAGAGAGATAAGAGAACCAGAAACGTCAATGAGAGAGAAACATCGACCAGCTGCCTCTTGCACACCCCTTACTGGGGATGTGCCTGCAACCAACATACATGCCCCTGACCGGAATCGAACCCGGGACCTTTCAGTCCGCAGACCGACGCTCTACTACTGAGCTAAACCAGTTTTGGCGAGAGAGAAACTCTTGCATACCCCCTACTGGGGATGTGCCCGCAACCAAGGTACATGCCCTTGACAGGAATCGAACCTGGGACCCTTGAGTCCTCAGGCCAATGCTCTATCCACTGAGCCAAACCGGTCAGGGCTAAGTGCTTCTGTTTATTGAGCATTTGCTACCTGCCAGGTGCCATGCTAAGTGCTTTCCTGTATCGTATCATTTAAGAAAGGAGGCAGCATTAATCTTGCTTTAGAGCTAAGAATGAAGCCTAGCCTCCAGGTACAAATACAGTGCACTGTCAGGGCATCCACATCTCTGGATGATCTAGGTTCTATTCCTACTTGACCATCATCTTATTCTGTGACCCAAGGCAACTTAACTTCTGAGCCTCAGTTTCATCACCCATAAAACGTCACAGGGTTGTTGGTGTCAAATTATTTTAGTACTTATAATGTAAATAGTATTATCCCTTTTGGGTAACTTAAAAAATATATACATATATTCCCATACAGAGATAAATACTTATGGGAAGGAATTAGGAAATAACTCAAGTTTTGGGGGAGAGGAACAGTTTGGGAGGGTTGTTACTTTCCACCTGTTCCTTGCCATAACGTTTGCATTTCTTAATCATGTGTAGTTTTACCCACGACTCCTGCATTAGTCCTTTAGCCTCAGCCATTCTAAATCTGAAGCTCTGGGAGGAGATCCCAAAAGCGAGCCCCCACCCCCCTCTCGGATCCTTTCCATTTTCCCCCTCCATACCCTGGCGTGGCTGGAGCCCCTTTCACAGCAAAGCGCCGTGCAAGGCGGTGCCTGGTGGACCGTCTGCCCTTCAGGCCCTAGCTCCAAAGGCTTTCCCGCCAGCCCATCTCAGTGCGGGCGATGTCCCAGCAGCCGCAGCACCCACCCGCTCCAAGCTTCCGGTGCAGAGCAAATCCAGACGATACCACTGAGCAGCAGCCCGGGAAAAGGAAGGTCTTTACCGCACCCACCTCCCCCACGAGCCCAAGGCTGACAACCTCCCCCAAGCTGCGCCGGCCTCACCTCCACTCCCCGTGGCACCGCGGCCCTTCCGCTTGCTTGCACGTGGGCCCCCAAGTCCCGCCCGCCCGTCCCTCGGCTTTCTGGGAAATGTAGTCTTCCCGTAGAGCGGAAGTTCAAGCAATCTAGCCTCTCTGCATGCTGGGAGTTGTAGTCCGCTGAAACAGGAAGTTGGGTCGGGTGGGAAATCTAGGAAGCGTAAGCTCACTGTAAAGCACCACGGACGTCGGAAGCAGAGCGGGATCGGCTGCCGCACCTGGCACGCTCCCGGTCATGCCGTGTGGGCTGCTGGGAATTGTAGTCGAGACCTGGCTCCATTTTCTAGATTGTGGCTTCCAATTTAAAGCAGAGGGCCACCCTTTGCAGGTAAAGCTACAGGTAATCCTCTTCCCATATGCCCTTCTCTGCTGGAGGCGGGCAAGACCGATTAAAAAACTGCTGTAGGTCTTCTATAAAGGGAGGGAGTGGGCCCTTCCATGCCAGCCAAAGATCTACTCACAGAGTCAAATCTGGAAGGAACCGCATGTGATCTGTGATCTAATCCACCTGCGACGATCCCGCCCTATCAACCTCGCCTCTATCACCAGTGAAAGGTGCCTGTTAACCTAGCTCTTGGGTGTTGGTTACTTCTACAACCAACCCAAATGCCATCCTGGGCTTGGACTGATACTGATACTCCTACACTCTTCATCTTGGGCACTTTTTTCTTTCTTTCTTTCTTTCTTTCTTTCTTTCTTTCTTTCTTTCTTTCTTTCTTTTCTTTCTTTCTTTTTTTTTTTTTTTTAAATATTTTCGGGTGCTTCTGGAGAAACCTGTGTTGAACAGTGAGTGGGCAAGAGAAGTAAAATGAAAGTGTGTGTTCTGTGACTTTGCCTTCATGCGGAATTTTGGATATTTTAAACAGCTCAGAATGAAGGAGAGACTGATACCCCTTACCTCAATCTGAAAGTTGATTTGGAAATCATTTGTATTCCCCTTCCCTTCTCCCTCTCTTCAATACACCCCCCCCCCAAAAAAAAAAATCAGTCAGAATCCAATGTAGTAATCAACAGGTTTATTTTCCTAGAACTGAAATTGTCTACGGTTCTCAGAGCTAAACTACAGTCAGCAATTTTTCATCAGAGCCCTGGGGAGAGGGAGAGGGAGAGGGAGAGGGACATGAGATGGAGGAGGCAGAGACCACGAGACAGAGGCTGGAGCGCACACTCCCTTCCCGGTCCTCTCGGAGGGGTACAACCCGACCTGGTGAACCGCCGAGGGGGCCGGGTGGGAGCGTGTGGATGGGAAGTGACACCAGAAGGGACGCCAAAGCCCCGGCCACAAAAGGAACGCCATCGAGCCCAGCGGAGGGGGCCTCCCAGGGCCCCTCAGAAACGCGGGCCACAGCGAGGACAAGAGGAGCAGCGTGGGGGCCACACAAAGGGATAGGGATCTTTAAATTTTTTTTAAATTTTCTTTTATTAAAAACATTTCCTAAAAAATGTGTCTTCTCCTTTCTGTCTGGGTGACCTGTGACTACAGCTGGCCTTGAGCACTGTGGGGGGAGGGAAAGGGCAGCCAGGGACCTCCCCGGGGCACCACCTCTCTGGCCCACTGTCTAACGGAGAAGCTGCTCCCCGACACTCCCATGGAAGCGGGGTGACATCAGCCCTCCAGAGCCCAGTCCATGGACCAAACAACCGGAAGCCCAAACCCTTCCGATGAGTAACTACAACTCAAAGAACTCCCTGGTTATTAGCAAAGGGGAAAGTGGGTGTTATCCATCACCGGAGAGTCCCTCCCCCGCGAGCTGTCCCACTTCTCCTGAATCTAGGCGGCTGAGAGAACAGGTGTCAGAGGGAGGGACAGGAGCTCAAGACGATGCCATCCTCCTGCTCACACCCCACCCCGACCTGAGGACTGTCCCTCTCAGGCCCCAGGAGCCCACCCTTGCTATTTACCCTCCGTCCCTTTCACTCCCGACTCTGATCCAAATCCACCCAGAGGCCCAGAGTGCCTGGGGGAGGGGCAAGAGGGTGTAAGAAGATGAGTACAGCGGGTCCAGAAACCCTGGGACACAGCTCCAGGCAGGGAGGGGCATAACGGCCTCATCCCACCCCGTGGAGCAAAGACATAGCCCTGACTCAGATCCCAGCAGTGTGGAGGCACGGAGGCAGGGCCGGACGGCACGCCGCCTCCAGGTCAGCCTCCAGGGACTGGGCTCGGGGAGGGAGAGTGAGTGGAAGAGAGCAGGTTGGAGCGGGGAGGGGTTCCCAGTTTGCAGGCCACGGCCAGTTTCCCCAGTAGCACCCAGACAGCAGCAGGAACGGGGTGGGGGCTCCTCTTGAAACATTGGTGGCTACAGGCTGCGGAGGGTCAGAGGGAGAAGGGTTAATGGTGAGGCCTTGGCCTGCCCTCGCCCAGCCCGTGCCACCCGGGCTCCCGAGAGGCTCACAGCCACCCTCCTCGCCCGGCTGCCAGTGGGGCTCGCTCACCTCTCGTGATCTCTGACGCCCGGGGCCTCAGCATCGTCCTTGGCAGCCTCTTCCTCCTCGTCCTCCGGCGGCCCCCGGCCAGAGCTGGGCTCCGAGGGGGTGCTGTTCTTCTCCACCTCCACAGGCGAGAGCCGCTCGGCCTCCACGCTGGCCACCGCCTTCTCCTCCCCTTCAGGGTCCTCTGCCTCTTTGGGACGTTTCGGGGAGTCCTAGGTGGGATTGGCAGAGATGGATGAGGTGGGCTGAGGCTCCAGAGGGAGGATGGCAGCCTGGCCCCCCACCCCCCTTTCTCCAGAGGCTCCTTCCTTTCACCCCAGTCCCTGCCCGGCCCCCTGCTTCTCAGCAAGGGCCTCCCCGAGACCAGGGCCGGGCCTCTCTCCAGCTCCGGGCGCAGGGAGGGCCGGTACCTCCAGCGGGTCCCCCGCTCTCCTCTTCAGCGCCCCCTTCTCGTTCTTCTCCTTGGCCGGCTCGTCGATGACCAGCTTCCCCTCCTCGTCGCTGCTGCCCTCGGTGTTCCCCTTCTTGTCACCGTCGCCCTCCGCGGCCTCGGGCTCGGGCTCGGGCTCCGGCTCCTCCACGCGGCTCTTCTTCTGGGAGGACTGGCGGGGGCGGCGGAGGCTGAGTGGCACCGCGGCCGCCGCGCCGGGCCCCTCCCCAGGCCCCTCCCGCAGCCGCTCACTCCTTCCTCTTCCCGCCTCGCCCCCGCCCCCGCCCAGGTGCCCAGTCTCACGAGTGATTTGAGACCCACCTCTGTCGGATTAGCCCCGGGGGAAACCCACTGGCCGGGCAGGCAGGGCTCTGTGCAGGAGGGGGGAGGGCTGGAGCAGGAGGCAAAACCTCGGGTCAACTTCTCCCAGGGGGAGCTAGGACCCTTTCCCCGCCAACCCCCGCCCCCGCCCTCCCGCCTCATCCTGCCCGGCTCACGTGCACCTCCTCCGGGAAGCCTTAGTGAAGGCCAAGTTCTACCCTCACCCTGGGCCCAGCAGCGGCCTCCCCACTTACCGCCTCCATCCTGTTCCTGCCCCCTGGCCTCACAGCTACACCGCACATCAGCACCCCGTACCCCACTCCGCCCCGCCCCGCCCGCCCCTCTGCCCTCTGAGCTGCTCCTGTGAGAGCCCTGGGTGTCCTAAGCATCCTGTTCGGGCCGGGGGCGCCCAGAGCCTGGGCCGCCCCTCTCTCCGGGGGTCTCCTGGGCCGCTGGCAGCTCACCTGGTAGCCAGAAGCCTTGACGGTAGGGTTGTTCTCGATCTCCCACAGCCCCTCGCTGAACCCTTTCCTCTTGTTGGGCTTGCCAAACTTCTCCTTGGACTCCTCGTAAGGGAAGAGGTCTTTGGGGCCCAGGAATGCCCTGGGGAGAGAGGGGAGGCTGTGCTCTCGAGCCCCTGGCCGCCTCTGAGCTCTGCAGCCGGCCGGGAAGGGGCCCCGCCCCACCCGTTCCCCGGGGCATCTGCCCCGGCCTCCCTCCACCGCCCTAACTCACGTCTCGTGGGTCCCGAAGAAAAAGACTTGGTATTTGTTGGCTGCTGACTTCACCGCGGTCTCGGGCATCTCGTCAATCTGCGAGCAAGGAGAGAGAAGGAACCTTGAGCTGGAGGTCCGAGCTGCAGATGTGGGCTGGGGGCTGCTGGCCTCTGGGTAAGACTGAGAGGGACCCAGGGGACCACCAAGGCGGTGTGGGAATTATTCTGGGAAGGAGGGTCAGAGGGAGAAGGTTAATGATGCCGGGGAACTTTTCAAACAAAGCCAGACATGAGAGCCCATCAGAAACCCTGGAGTCAAGTCACCCCTCTCCTTCACACACCACACAGCACCCGTTCTGCCCTCCGAGGCCCAGATCCTGTCGCACGCTCCTCATCTTTGCTATCGGCCTGGGCCAACACGGTCTCCTCTGGCCTGGACTAAACCACAGCATGTGTCCTTTCTGTCTCCATTCTTGCCCCACTACCACCCACCCTCCCCACCGGGCTGGCCTTCTGAAATGCTGGCTCCCAGTGAACATCCCCTGCCTCTGCTGGAAACCTTCCAATGGCTTTTCATCAGCCTGTCACTCTTCTCCATCACGTCAAGGTCTGAATCCCATGCTGCCACCGATACTTGTACGACGCTGGGCACCTTCTGGCACTTCTCTGCCTCGGTTTCCCCAACTTTAAAATGGAGACAGTCAAAGTACTAAGGCTCAGGGTTGTGAGAACTAAAGGACCGTAACCGGTCAGATGGATCCTTCAGCCTCCTGTCCTCACTAAGGCCTGACCAGCTTCCAACCTCAGCCCTGTCCTCACTTCCTCCAGGAAGTCCCCGTCTCTCCCAACCTGGTCAGCTTCCCAGATAAAACGCTCTTAGCACCTCTCCTTCACAATTCCAATTTTAGCTACTCGTGTTACCACCTAATTAATGTCTATGAGGGCTACGCATGCCCGGATCAGGGAGGTCTGTTTTTATCCCCTGCAGTGCCTAGTGCACAGGAGGTGTGCAGTAAAGGCTGCTGAATGAAATAAAGTGCACAGCTCTGGTAATAACGGAGGGGTGAGGAGGCTAAGGGGCTATTCTCCCCCCTCCCCCCCAACAGGCTTCTAGGGAGCACTTTGAAAAGTTATTTGCCCGAGTAACAGGGCAAGTCAGTGAGGGCCAGGGCTTGGAAATAGCCCGCCTGTCCTGGGCGCTGGAGCAGTGTGTGGTGAGCGTGCAGAGGGCTGGGGGCTGGGAAATGCAGAGGCAGCGGCACAGCGGGCCTCCCAGATCAGGCCCGGGAAGCCCAGGCCAAGCTGAACTGCGGAGAAACTACAACTCCCAGCAGCCCTTGCAGCAGCCCCGCTACCGGGCTTCCCTCGGACAGAGGCCAGGTGGCCATGTTGACGGGGCCCAGGCGCAGATAGGAAAGAGACAGGCAGGCAGGCAGGCCAAGGCTGTGATTAACGCACCAGGACCGGAACGGAGAACCTGGGGGCCCGGGAGACCTGGAAGCTGGGAGGCTGGGAATGTGCTAACGTAGGGGAGAGGGTGGAGCCCGGGGCACGAATCTGAGGGGCATCTTGCTGCAGACACGGAGCCCTCAAGCTCCCGGGCACCTTCTCCCCTTGCCCTGTGGCCTCTGGGGACAGAGGTCCAGTCCCTCCCCCCAGGAAGGCTGGGCGCCAGCCGGGCCCTCCCCGTGACCAGGAGACTCCGAGGTTCGAACGCAGGAGGTGCAGAGGCACAGCCCCCCCCCCCCTCCCAAAACACACACGATCCCCATCGCCATGACAACCCGACCCCGCCCCCCGGGGCCACTCAGCAGCCAGGAATGTGGCCACCCCTCCCCCAGGCCTCTCTCCGGATTGGGGAGGAGGGGACGGACACACACCCCACCCACCGGCCGGGAGCCTGGCTGCAGGGGCCCGGGGAGAGCTCTAAGCTGCAGCCTGGGCCTCTCAGGAAGTTAGGGCCGAGGGTTGGGGGTGGAGGAGGCAGAGGATCCCGTCCCCTGCAGGACACCTGGGTCCAGTTACCAGCTAGCTCCCACCCTCTTCTGGGAGGGAGAAGCAAAAAGCAAACAAACAAAAACACACACCACAAACTGAGAGCCCCAGGGCTAAGAGATCCCGGGAGGCCGGTACAATAATGGCAACAATAGCCCCTTCCCTAAGCTGCTTCCCACCGGAGCAGGGCAGGGGTGGGACCTGAGGGTCCCCGCTGAGAGCCAGCTCCCTGTTTTCAGGGCCACCCCGGGGCCAGGGCATGAGCGTGCTCCTAGGAAATGCGTGGTGAGAGGAGGGAAACTGAGGCTAGGAGAGGGGGTGGAGCGAGGTCTCTCCAGCACAGCAACAGCAAAGCAGCTCCCCCGGGCCGCCCGGCTCTTTCCCGGGAAGGCCGACTTGGAGATAAGTCGCTGACCGGTGTGACGGGACCCAGGAGGCCACAGCTGCCCAACCTCAGGGGTGGGAGAGGCACAAAAGAAAGGCTAGGAATTAAAAATAGACGACGAGGCACACCCGACAGACTCGTCCGGCTGGCCTCTAGCCAAAGAGAAGGTGGGTCTAGAGAAGAGACCAGGGCCCGGGCAGGGCATCTGCCCCTAGGGCTCACCCTGCCCCCCATGCCGCACCTTGTGTGTGGACACCTGTGGGGAAGGGGCCAGGAGGCACATTCTTTCCACGGAATGGAATTCCTACCTCCCCCACACCCCCCTCCATGGCGGGCTCTCCTCTGGAAGCATCTGGAAGATGCTCGGAGGTCTCTGAGAACACCTGTACCCCAATACAGTCTCCCAGGCGGTGCCTCTCTATCTTTATATCCAGGCTGTGACTCAACAAGTGAGTCCAGGGTAAGTGGGTCAGGGTGGGTGGGGCCAGATGGGTGCTGGAGACCCACGGCACCCCCTCCACTGGCCCCACCGGGGCGCGGGCTCTGCTCCTTCTCTGCCACCCCAGACCCCAGGCAAGTTACTCTTCCTCAGGCCAGGCCCTCGCATGTGAAACCCTGCCCTCCTGAAGTATGAAGTATGAAGAGGGATGGGAAATTCCCAGGTGGGAAGTGAGGGAGAGGCCTCAGACCAGACCCAGCCCAGGGTGGCCTGGGCAGTGCAGAGGCAGGCAGCAGGGAAGGCCAGGCCCATGGTGCCTGCCAGCCAGGGCTCTAACCACCACACCCAGGGCCCGGGCCCCACCTGACCCAGGAACCGGAAAATCTGGGGCAGGAGACAGTTGGGGCCGGGAAAGTGTGGCAAACCCAAGAGGCAGAAAAGAGAAGGTAGTGTGCCTGGCGGGGGGAGGGGCCGAGGGAGAAAAGAGGAGGGAGGAGTGAGGCCCTCTGGCTGCTCAGGTTCGGTTGTCCGGCTGGTGAAACAGGGAGAGAGGAGGAAGGAACCTGGGGGGAGTGGGGATGAGGGGGCGGGGAGAGAAACCCCTGAGTCCTGGAGCTTAGCTGTGAAGTGCTGGGAGATCCCCCGAGAAGTCAGGCGGGAGGAGGGAAAGGAGAAGGTCAAGATGGAGTCACACCATCCTTCCAGGTAGGGCCTACCACGTGGCCCTCTGGCCGGACTCTCCCTGCACCGCCCAGAATCGGCCACACTACCCAGAAGGAAAGGCCACGGAGTGGCCTCACCACAGCAGAGGGGGACCCTGTTCTTCCTCTCAGGGGGGCCGGCCACTCTGGGGACTAAGCTCACATCCAGGGGATGGTGAGGAGGCGTGTGTGTGTGTGTGTAAGGGGGATGCATGTCAGAACTAACTTGGGTGCAGTGCCCCTCCCCCCACATGTGAGGGGTGGTCACATTCCTGGCTGCGGTGATAGTCCGGAGCCAGAGCACGGGCACAGGGCGGAGTCCCAGCTCTGGGACCCTGGGCTGGTCTCCCTCCCCCAGCCCTGACTTTATCTGCGAGGCCCAGGCATCAACAAAGGAAGAGGCTCTGCTGCGGGTCCCACCCTCCGCCTGGAGGCCAGTGGAGAAGAAATGGCATCCCCGGCCCCAGGCACTGCCCTCACTGCCAGGGCCACCAAAACCCTACAGGTCCTCCCGGCCTCCATGCAGGCCCAGCTGTGTCTCTCCTGATCCCTTCCCTCGTCCCAATGCCGAGGGGTTCTCTAAACCCACGTTCCGGTTGTAACCCCTCCCCAGGCCTCAGCCCCGGCTCTGGACTTTGTCCCACCCCAGTGGGCAGAGCAATGGAGACCTGGTTTCGGTTCTTGCCCGGCCCACCAGGGCCTTGGCATCCAGGCCAAGAAGCCAATTGGATCAAAGGTGCAGGGTAAAGTACATGAGTGTTCACATGCCACACACATACATGTACACACAAGGCCCCTGTGGGGCTGCCTCTAGGAGGCCCCGGAGCCGGGGAGAGTCCTTCCCTTTCGTACTTCCCTCCCATTCCAGAGGCCAGGCACCTACAAGTTTCCGGAAACAAGGAGCTCAAGGCATGTGGAAGTAGGCAGGCGCCTCCAAAGAGAGTCCAGAAAGAGGAAGGGTCTTCTGGGTTCCTCAGAGGGGCCCCGAAGTTGGCCTGACACTCTGAACGGGTCACCAGGGAGCCTGGAGTAACGTCCTAAGCTCAGAGCAGGATCTGGGCCAGGTGAAGACACACAGACTCCCGCCAGAAAGAGCAATCACAGCCTTAAGGGAATTCTGCACGTGGCCCCCAGACCCAGAAGATGCCCTCCCCCTCCCCCCCTTTCTGCCTTTGGACCTCACTCCACACCAGCCCTACACTCCGGTCACCCACCCACGCCGAATGCCAAGGCCGCCCAATACCGACTTTGAAATAAGTTGCCAGGGGCACTGCCCCCTGTGGCATCCCCAAACCCCTCCAGCTCCCTCTGGTCACCTTCCTCCCTCTGCTTCACCTGCCACAGTCCTGGGGGGTTGGAGGGAGGAGACATGACCACAAACCCAGCACTTTGGGGCCCCACCCTCCCACCTGGCCAGGTGCTGGACAGGGGGGGAGGGGCCCGCATATTGGCGGGCTGAGCCACCACATGGCAGACTGGGCCTCTGGGACACGCGAGCCTCACGTGGGGGTGGGGGCAGGAGGTGGGGGGAGGTGCAGAAGCCACCCGGGCTCTCCACCCTCGTCTCCTGGCCTCCAGCCTCCACGAAGGGGCAGGATGGAGTGGACTCCCCTGCCCCGCCGGGGGGCCATGCACCCGCAGGCCCCCATTGGAAATCGGCAGCATATGGAGGCGTTTCCGTGGGGGGATGAGAAGTGAAGAAGGCGGATAACTTCCGAACCAGGGAGATCCCCTCCTGCACCGTGTCCCCCCCAAAGCCATTCCTCGACCCTCCCAACTTCAGACCTCTTAAAGGGCGCCCCGAACCAAAGTTTTCCAGGAGCGAACTCCGCCTCCACCTATTCCTTTCCTGGGCGACTGATGTCCTTCTGGAACCATTTAACCCAGGAAGGAGTTAGAGCTCGGGGCAACGACCCATGAAGGAGCGGGGTGTCTAAGGGGGTCCCTAAGGGGCGCCGGGGCGGGGGTGGGAGGGGGGAAAAGGGGTGGGAGGAGTTACAAGACAGGCCCGAACCGAGGCGGCGGGTCCGAAGCCTCCGGGGGGCCGGGAGCGGAGCCGGGCACCCACAGCCCGGCCGGACAGTGCCCCGCGCCCTCGGGGCCCCACGCCGCGCGCCTGGGCGCCGTCCGGCCAGGGGTTCGCCGCCCCCACCCGCCCGCGAGGTCGCCTCCCCATTATATAACCCGCGAGCGGGCTCGGAGGCGCCGGGGGACACGTCTGGGGCTCGGACCCCCGCCCCCACCCTCCCCGCGGGCCGCTCGCACCCTCCTCCCCGGCGTTATGCAACCCGCGCCCGAAGCGGGAGGGACCGGACGGCTGGCCGCGCTGCTCACCCGGGCCGGCCAGTGCGGGTAGCCCTTCATCTTGGCGAACACCAGGTCCCCGCATTTGTACTCCTTCTGCCGGTTGGACCGCGACATGGCTGGGCCCCGGGCGCCCCGGGCTCCGCGCCGGGCCGGGAAGCGCGAGCCCAAGTTGGCGCGCGTGGCGGTGGCGGTGGCGGTGGCGGCGGCGGCGGCGGCGGCGCCGCTCCGCTCCGGCCCTCGCGCGGCCCCCGCCTCGATGGCGGCCCCCGGCCCCAACTCCGGCGCGGCCACGGCGTCTCCCCGCGCGCGCCGCACGGACGGGGCGGCGGGCGCCGGATCCGGGGCGACGCTCCGCGGCGCGGCGGCGGTGGGTGCGCGCTCGTGCGGTTGTTTGTGTTTGAAATTAAATTGCTCCCTCCTCGGCGGCGCGAGGCCTCTTCCTCCGCCACCGCCCCCCCGCCCGGTCCCCGCTCCCGCTCCCTCCTCCCTCCTCCCCGCCCCTCCTCCTCCCCCGCCGCCGCGCCCCCTCCCGCCGGGGTTCGATGCGCGCAGCTTCCGGACGCTCAGGCCTGCCGCCGCCCGGCGCCCAATCCGAGGCCGCCCTGGCGGAGCGCGGCGACTCAGGCGCGGGGAGCCGATCGCCGATGTCGCCGAGCGGGCTTTGTGTGCCCCCGGCTGGTGGGTGCCCGCCCGGCGGGAGGAGCCGGCGCCCGGCTGGACGGAGCGGCTAGCTAGGCGCCCCTCCCCCGGCCCGGCCCCGCGGGGCGCTCGCACCGTGGCCTCTACTCAGCCAAGGAGGGGCGACTTCCCTGCCCTCCGCCCTCAGCTCCATCCCCACCGGGAGCGCGTGCTTGGGGCGCCGGGGCCGGGGGGGGGGGGGGGGGGGTTGCTCTCCGGGCCGCTGCGCGCGCAGAGGTCTGCCCCGGACCTCCACGTGCTCAGTCGGTGGCCCCGGGGACGTGGGAGATTTGCTCCTCATTGCAGACCTTGTGGAAGAGTTTGGTAGCCAGGAGGTGGCAGAGGGGTTATGGCACGCAGTGGCCACGTCCCCGGAGCGTTGGGTAGATGTCCGTTCTCTGTGCTGCTGGTTCCTGGCAAAAGAGAGAGCTGGGCTCTGCGCTAGCGAAGCCCTCGAAGATGAGTTCTGTTCTAGCGGGAAGAGGTTGTAGAATAAGGTGACCAGACGTCCCGCTTTTGGTGGGACAGTCCCAATTTTCAACCATCGACTTTTTGAAAAAGCCGCAGGACGCGGGGCAAATGGTTAAAAATTGGGACATCTGGTCACCTTATTGTAGAAGCAACTCCCAAGTCGTGAAGACCGGGACCAGGCACTACCTCTCTTGGAGGTGGGGATGGGGGTGGGAGAGAATCTGGGAAGGTTTCGCACAGGTGGCCATCAGAGCTGGGCCTTAAAAGATGGGAGTGGTTTTGCTGGGTTCCAGAGACTGCATCGGAGCCAAGGTTTTATATCTTACCCAGGGACAGAACAAAACTTGAACTCAGGCCTCTTCCCGCTGAGCCAAACAAGACTTGATTCTAATGACATCTTTGATTTGCTTGTCACGGTATGGGCCTTGGATTTGCCCACATTCCAGATACCTGTGGTCTCTTATTAATAAGATTTTTGTGCCCTAGCCAGTTTGGCATAGTGGGTAGAGCTGTAGGCCCACCGACTGGATTGAACCATCATGAATTTGATTCCACTCAGGGGCACTACCTCCTTTGCTAGATGGATCCCTGCGGGTGGGAGGTGGGCAGGAGGGCAGCCAATCAATATGTCTCTCTCATAGTGACATTTTCTTCTAATTCCACTCTCTAAAAAATCGATGGAAGGACTCTACCTGGTTTGGCTCAGTGGATAGAGCGTCAGCCTGTGGACTCAATGGTCCCAGGTTCGATTCCACTCAGTCAGTGTGCTAGGTCAGTGTCTGTCAGGCTAACGTTTCCCTTTGTTATTGTACTGTTAAGAGAGACTCTTGTCACACATTTTTAAAAGGTATTTTATCCGGGACCGGTTTGGCTCAGTGGATAGAGCGTCGGCCTGCGGACTGAAAGGTCCCCGGTTCGATTCTGGTCAAGGGCATGTACCTTGGTTGCTGGCACATCCCCAGTGGGAGGTGTGCAAGAGGCAGCTGATCAATGATTCTCTCTCATCGATGTTTCTAACTCTCTATCCCTCTTTCTCTCTGTAAAAAATCAATAAAATATATTTTAAAAAAAGATATTTCAGTAAACCCAGTGTCACAGTAGGTTTTGGTTTTTTTTTTAATACATTTTATTGATTTTAGAGAGGAAGGGAGAGGAAGAGAAAGATAGAAACATCAATATTGAGAAACATTGATTGGCTGCCTCCTGCACGCCCCCAACTCAGGCATGTGCCCCTGACCAGAACTGAACCCAGGACCCTTCAGTCTGCAGGCCAACACTCCATCCACCGAGCTAAACCAGCCAGGGCTAGGTTTTGTTTGTTTTTTTAAGTGCCCGGGCCAGTATTATAAATACGCACAGTTTCAATGCAACAAACATTTACAAACTATTTTCCAGTTTAGCACACACCAATTTAAGTAAGAGTCCTATCCATTTCTCCATTGTTGTGTCATCAAATCCGGTTTGGAGGTGGCAGTAAGGATCCTGCGTCCTTTTTTTGCACCAAATCTCTCGGGCCCGTCTCCGTCCACCATGCAGATGCTGGCTGCCATAAACCAACCAGGCTTCCCTTTGTTGCTGTAATCTCCCCGGCCTTGGGTGCAATTTAATATCCAAGTTCTCTTTACAATAACATCGGCCCACTCCCAGCTGCCCCTAACAACCCAGCCGAGAGCAGGAGAGGGTCAGTTACAGGGGCAGGTGGGCAGAAGCCTGCCTCCCTTGGGATTTAGCTCTGACCTAGTGCTTGTGTAGTCTTTAACGTGCAACCGAATCACCTGGGAATCCTTCAAAAGCAGCTCTCATTCAGGAAGTTTGGGGCGTCTGCATTTCTAACAAGCCTCAGGGTGCGTTGGCTGCTTTAACCGACCCTTTGAGTATAAGATTTAGAGCACAGGCCCCCAACTGCCAGTGCAGCTTGGAGCTAGTTCCCAAATGTCTCAGTGAAATGATGCTGTTGATGCTGGTGCTCGCCTCGCCTCTGCATTTGTGTGAGAGGGAGGTCAGGACAGAAGCCAGGGGACTTGAGGCCCCAGGGCAGAGCAGTCTTGTGAGTGCAGATCTGGCTTGGGGGTTCTGAAGGAGCAAGGTCAGGGAAGAGGAGGGTGGACTGACTCTGTCCATATCCGGAAGGAAAATTGGCTCAGTGGCAGGAGGGATGGGGCTGAGGGTACTAGGGAAGGGGAAGTGTGCGAGAGTGGCAACAACCTGGGTCTGTATGTCAGGGGACCTAGGTTTGAATCTTGCTTTTGGCAAGTGACCTGAACTTCTTTTTTATTTTATTTTATTTATTTTTTTAAAATATATTTTAATGATTTTGTACAGAGAGGAAGGGAGAGAGATAGTTAGAAACATCAATGAGAGAGAGTCATCGATCAGCTGCCTCTTGCTCACCTCCTACTGGGGATATGCCCGCAACCAAGGTACATGCCCTTCATCGGAATCAAACCCGGGACCTTTCAGTCCCCAAGCCGACGCTCTATCCATTGAGCCAAACCGGTTTCGGCGTGACCTGAACTTCTAAACAAAATTTTCTTTCACTGTAAAAAATGTAAATACAAATAGCTGTGTTGCCGAAACCGGTTTAGCTCAGTGGATGGAGCGTCGGCCTGAGGACTGAAGGGCCCCAGGTTCGATTCTGGTCAAGGGCATGTACCTTGGTTGTGGGCACATCCCCCCCGGTAGGAGGTGTGCAGGAGGCAGCTGATCATCTCTCATCGATGTCTCTATATCTTTCCCTATCCCTTTCTCTCTGTAAAGAATCAATAAAATATATATATTTAAAAACCAACCAAACAAAACAAAACAAAAAACCAAATAGCTGTGTTATGGGGTGGTAAAGGAGATCATCAGTATCAAAACCTCATAGACGCACCTGGCTGGTGTGGCCCAGTGGTTCAATGGCGACCTATGACCCAGGAAGTCACAGTTTCATTCCTGGTCAGGGCATTTGTCCAGGTTGTGGGCTTGATCCCAGTAGGGGATGTGCAGGCTCTAATCACTGAGCCACACCAGTCAGGGATAGCCTTCTTTTATTCTTGTCTGGAGTTGGGGAGAGCCTGTTCCCCCGCTATCATGAAGTGGGGAGAGGCTATAGCTGTGTCTTAAACAGTTTTTAACCAGTCCTCATTTTTGTTCCCTTCCCGCCTCGTGTCTCATTCGCTTCCGGAGGCCCTCCTGCGCTTTGGAGGCTCTGCAGGAGCCCATATTGGTCCTCACTCCCCTCGGCCAGCTCGGGCCTCCGCCAAGTCCGTTACCACCGGGCCCTTTGCTTCCCTCCTCCCAGAATGTTGTAACTGCTTTCCTCGTTTCATCACCCCTTTGTGGGTTTATATCTTTTCCCATTTACAAAATGGCCTCTCATGCCTTTTCACAAAAAGTGTCTTTATTGAAGTTTTAACAGGATTTCAGGAGGGAATCCAATTAGATATGTTCAAGTCACTATCTTTTGCTGGAAGACTTTATGACTATTACTACTTTTGGAATAGATAATACATGTACAGGTTACAAATTTCTAAAAGTATGAAAGAGTGCACATAAATAAATCCCTTTCCCACCCACCCATGCCCTGAAGTTCCCTCCCTCTTCCTTCCCTCCTTCCTTCTTTCCTTCTTCCCTCCCTCCCTTCCTCCTTCCCTCTCTCCTTCTTCCTCCCTTCCTTTCCTTCTTTCCCTCAATCCCTCCCTTATTCCCTCCCTCCCTTTCTTCCTTCTCAGATTCTTATCCTCACCCAAGGATATTTTTCCCATTGATTTTTAGAGAGAGGGAAAGACAGAGAGAAATATCAATGTGAGAGAAACACATCAATTGGTTGCCTCCTGCCTGAGGCCCGACCAGGCCCTGGGCCCGGGTGGAGCCTGCAACTGAGGTACGTGCCCTTGACCAGAATCGAATCTGAAACTCTTTGGTCCACAGGCTGCCGTTCTATCCACTGAGCCGAATCGGCGAGGGCACCCTGAAGTTTCTATTATCAGTTTCTTGTATAAAAATAGCCATTGGAGGGCGGGTGTACACCTAATAAGATGAATCATCAATCTTTAGGTAAGAGGCCCAGCTTTGAGGATATTTGTCAGATAGGTCCTGACCTTGTGGGGCTTCTTGTCTCTGCAGGGCAGCAGATGTGTTCACAAGGAACAAGGATGGCCACATCCCTTTAGAAGTTTCTTATTCTCTCAGGGTTCTAAGTCGTTTCACTGGGTGTGAGTAGCAGGTGTTTCTCACAGAAGTAGGACAGGGCTCCTTAATACTCCATCCATTTTTCAAAGGAGAAAAGTGAGACTCAGTGAAGAGAGGTGACCGCCCAAAGTCACCAGAAAATAGATCCGGAAAGCAGGCATTAGGAGTCAGCCTTGGGCAAAGCTCACCAGGATCGGAAGATCTGGTTTCCCAGAGTTGTTCTGCTTTGCAATTAATTTCTTAAAAATTGACTCTGGGTCCCCCCCCACACACTACCCTCCCCACCCCCCTACTGAATAAGAATCTCTTAAGCACCTTAGAAATTTTCCTTTCTAAGAAGCTTTCCCAGCCTTGGCCGGTTTGACTCAGTGGATATATATATATATATATATAATTGATTTCAGAGAGGATGGGAGAGGGAGAGAGAAACATCAACGATGAAAGACAGAATCATTGATCTGCTGCCTCCTGCATGCCCCACACCAGGTATCACATGTGCCCTGACCGGGAATCGAACCGTGACCTCCTGGTTCATAGGTCCATGCTTACCACCGCACCACCCACCAGGTTCCATCTTCCTCTTTAGCCTCCTTCCCAAACTTCAACAGAAGTAGAATCTTTTGCTCTCTGGGAGCAGAAAGGTGGCGCCTACGCAGAGGTGGATTAGCATGGGAAGAACACACAGAGGCAGAGTGTGGACAAGTCCAGGGCACTCAGTCACAGGCAGACAGGAAGGGACAAAGATGGATAAACAAGAATAGGACACAAGGTCACACCCTGATGGGCAGGGAAGGACAGGTACAGAACCATGGCACCTAAAGGGCACACACAAAGGCCGGATAACCACCAGGCACAGACAGAGCCGATAAGGAGGGCATATGCAGAGGGGCGGGGGGTGGGGGGTAGGTCATGGCAGACAGAGGTGGCCGCAGGTGATGGCCCAGGCCTGTGCAGGGGGCTGAGCTGCAGCTGGCTCCTTTGGGCTGCGGGGAAGGGAGCAGCCTGACACCGGCTCTGACATCTTTCTGCCCACTGGCTGCTGCAGAGGGAGGCCCGTCCCCAGGCTAGGAGGGCTGGGTTTGCTCCGGGATGTGCACCTGAGTCACCAGGAGGGGCGTCACCTCCCTCCCTCTTAGGTCACATTTATTTTAGGTATCAGATGTTTATTGTTAAGCTTGAAATCTCGCCTCTTTCTAGCTCGCAGCCCAATTTCCTACAGGTCTCTCGGGCCCTGTCTCTTTTTTGGGGGGTGTTTGAACCCAACTCCGGTTTCAGCCAACTGGGGAACTTCAGTTTATTTCCGTGTCACTTTCTCTTTAAGCTATTCCCCTCCTGCCCGCATCCCGCCACCTTCCCAGACTCCCTCTCATTCCCGGCATCACTTGCAGTTTCGAGGAGCACTACATCTCCCATAACTCTTAGCGCTCAAGAGGCTTTCCCCCCCCCCCCCCCCCCTCTAGGGAACTTCAAGAACCGAAATGCTCTCCTCTCTGCCTCCGTGATTACCGCGGTGACCGACGGGGCTGGTAGTCAACTAGGAGTTGTCGGGAGACATCTCCCCTCAAAAAAACAAAACAAAACAAAACAAAACAAAAAAAACCCCTACTCATCCCAGGAGACATCGCGCCAGAGGCGGGTGGATTATCTGTCTTTCGGCGCGCCCCTTAATCCTCTTTCGGACTCCAACTCCCGCTGTGCCTTGCGCCGAGTTCCCTGCGGCAGTGAATGGGGCTATATCAAGGTCTTCTGGGAGTTGCAGTTCGCATTTTAGAGAGGGAAAGGAGGGGGCGGAGTGACGCGGCGGCCATTAGCTGTGTGTAGTTGCCCGGGACTGGGAGCTTAAGTGAAGAGGGAAGTCTTATTTCGGTGGAAATCAGCTGAGGCGATGGGCTACTGCCGGGGCTAGCCCTAGAGTACGGAGAAGGTGGGCTTTACGGCTCCCCGCCCCGCCAAGTGGCGGGGCCCGCTAGGCCTCCGGGCATCCCTGGTCTCAAGTAGGCCTGGTCTGCCGGCAAGGGCGCCCCCAAAGCGGAGGCGCCATGTCGCTGGTTGCTTACGCCAGCAGCGATGAAAGTGAGCCGGATGAAGCTGAGCCGGAGGAGGAGGAGGCGGCGGCCCCGACATCTGGGCCTACTTTAGGGGGCTTGTTCGCTTCCCTCCCCGCACCCAAGGGTCCGGCCCTGCTGCCTCCGCCCCCTCAGATGCTGGCCCCAGCCTTCCCTCCTCCGCTGCTGCTGCCCCCACCCAGCGGGGACCCCCGGCTCCAGCCTCCTCCCCCCCTGCCCTTCGGCCTGGGAGGCTTCCCGCCACCTCCAGGCGTGAGCCCGGCTGAAGCTGCGGGGGTTGGGGAGGGTCTGGGGTTGGGGCTGCCCTCGGCCCTGGGCCCTGGCCTCAGCCTGCCCCCCCCTATCGGCGGTGCCGGGCCCCCCCTGGGGCTTCCCAAGCCAAAGAAGAGGACGAGGACGGAGCCCGTGAAGATTGCGGCGCCGGAGCTGCATAAGGGGGATGTGAGTATCCGAGGAGGGCACCCCTGCACCCCATCGGGTTTGGGCATAGGCACCGCGGTAAGGAAGGGCTCCCTCCTATGAATGCTGCTATCGATCCCAGACCACTGCTGGCTTCCTGCTACCGCGCAGTTCATGGAGCTGAAGTTTGCCAACTTCGGGGAGTGAAGGTGTGGGTGCCTGCGGCTTCCCGCCTGCAGAAACTGGACCCGCCTGCAGAAGGGTCACGTACATCCCTGGGCCCCGAGCCCCAGGCTCCGGCTAGGGGACACTTGGTTCTGCTCCTTCTTGTAGCATCTTCTGCCTCGGGCCGGGTTTTTGGCTCCGTTTTGTTTTCCCTCTTTTGCTGAGAGCAGCATGGAATCTGGTACCTGAGAAGTGACAGCAGCGAGGATTCTTGGAGACCAGCCTCTCCCTTTGCCCCTGAACTTAAGAGCATCAGGGTCTGAAGGAAAAGGGTCGGAGTCCTGGATCCTATTTTTGGAGAGGAGTTAGGGAAGAAATTGAGTATTTGTTGAGTTCAGATCATTCCCTTCAAGTATGACAGAAGTCGAATTTTTACAGTTGCGAAACAGTTGTTCAGCATTTAAGATCTTTAACCTGGTAAAGGACAGAGGGGTTAAGAGCTGGGTCTGCTGGAACCCCAGGTCTGGGGCTCAGTTTCACCATTGAGGTGTTGTCAAGCTTAGGTGAATTCGGATGCGTGGGGACTATTTCTAGAAGAGGCAGCCAGGCTTATATTTTCTGTATTAGAGCAGAAAACTAAAAGGCCTTTTCTGGAATATTTGGGGAGAGGGGCAGGTAGTGTTTTATATGTGTGTGTGTGTTTATGGAGCTCAGAGAGGGGGAGGGAGAGGGAGAGACTGATAAAAACATCGATGAGAGAGAAGTATCCATCGGCTGCCTCCTTCACATCCCCTTCCGGAGACCAAGCCAGAAACCCGGGTATGTGCCCTGACCAGTCATTGAGCTGGTGCATGGGTTGGTGCTTGACCACTGAGCCACCCCAGCTGAACTGGGCAGGTAGTGTTTTAGAGTTATCCCGAGTTCCTTCTTTTCTCTTCTGAAAAGTTAACTGGTCAGGCCCTGGCTTACCTTCGGTAATCGCTCCACCCCCCCACACCCCCCAAGAGAAGCTTCTTGCTCTTAGTGCTTTTCTCCAGACCTCCTACCCTTCCTAGGGGCCGTTTCCGTTCTTAGTTCTTACTGGTCCCTGGGTTTCTTCCCAGGTATCCTAACGTTCTCTCCCTCACCTCTTTCAGTTCTTAGCTTAAAAGACATGTTTTTTTTTGCCCTAGCCAGTTTGGCTCAGTGGCTAGAGCATCGGCCTGCAGACTGAAGGGTCCCAGGTTCGATTCTGACCAAGGGCACATGCCCAGGTGGCGGGCTCTGTCTCTGAAATAAATAGAAATATATTAAAAAAGACATGTTTTCAGTGAGGACTTCCTTGCCTACCTATTTAAATTGCAACTTCCTATCACCCACTCTTCTCACCCCTTTCTTTGTTTTATTTTTCTCTATAGCACTTCCCGCTGCCCAACATATACTGTCTAGTTTGTTTGTTTGTTTGTTTGTTTTTTAGAGAGCAAGGGAGAGGGAGAGAGAGATAGAAACAATGATGAGAGAGAATCATTGACCGGCTGCCTCCTGCACGCCCCACTCTGTGTATTGAGCCTGCATCCTGGGCATGTGCCCTGACTGGGAATCAAACCGTGACCTCCTGGCTCATAGGTTGACACTCAACCACTGAGCCTTGCTGCCTCTCTCCTCCTGCTGGTATACAGGCTCCACAAAGGCATGGCCTGTGGTTTATTTTATTCACACTGTGTCTCTAGGTTTAAAACAATGCTTGGCACATAGTGAGTACTACTGAGTATTTTCTGAGTGAATGAACTCAAATAAATCTGGATTATCCATGGAAAGGGGGCTGCAGAGTCTCCCTCCCTACGTGTTCCAGATTTTCTTCCGGATTATTCCCTCCTCCTTTCTCACCTAAGCCTGTCATTTTTTAAGTCTGGTCCAGAAAAGCCTCTTGTTGCCACCCTGAAATTTCCTTTGCCCTTGATTTAATCTGAAACAAAGGCAAGTCTCTGAATATGACAGGAAAATAGGCTCATTTCCCTGGCATTGTCTTTTCTCCCTCTTCATAGTTCCCTCCCCAGACGGTGGTGTCCGGGGGAAGGTGGCACCTGGGCCGGCCTGCCTCCTTCCGCGGCGGCCGAGGGAAGGCTCTCCTCGGCAGGTCTGTGGAGGAGGCAGGAGGAAAAGTTGCGGGTGGGGCTGGGGTCTTCCCTTTCGCCTGGCTGACGCTGAGGACTCCCACCTCCACCCCTTCTTTGTCCGTCTAGCTCTCTGCCTTTCTGAGGGGAGTGTGTGACGTGGATCCTTAAAATGAAGTCACACGCTGGCCTTTAGCTGGCTCCGTGTCCCATTTTGTTCTGTTCAAGTTATTATCGTCCTCTGAACACATAATTCCTGGGGAAAGAAAGACGGCCTAAGAGGAGTCAAGATGATCAGGTGAGGGTGACCTTCCACTTTAAAATCGTGCCCCCTCCAGCTCTCAGCCCCCCTACCTCTAAGCTTTGTGTCTGACGCTTAGTAGGCTCTCAGTACACGTTTAAGTGAGTGAATTAGGTTTCCTTAAATCATTTCCCTTTAGAGTTTGGTGATAAAGTAGAAGTAATTAATGCCGAACTTTTATTAAGTTAATTCAATATTGAGCTACTTCTCTGCCAGGTGCTAAGAGGATAGCAGTGAACGTGACAGACCCTGCTCAAAAGGAGCTTGTGGGCTTTTGGGGGAGCCCACCAAGGAAACAGGTTTTAGGTCAAGTCAGAGGAGAGAGCTGGGGCCATGGGAAGCACACAGTCCAGAGGTTGGGGAGGCTTCTAGGAAGAGGGATAGCTGAGGAGAGAGAAGGCAGACGAGCAGGAGGTAGCCAGAGAAAGAGCGTGGATGGGGAGGAGCACATCGGGCAGAGGGAATAACGTGCAGAAGCCTGGAGGTGAGAGAAATGAGTACGGCGCAGCAGCTGGAGCCCATGAGAGGGCAGGGAAGTGATGAGCGGAGGTGTTCCGGTTTGGCTTAGTGGATGGAGCGTCAACCTGGGGACTAAGGTCCTAGGTTCGATTCCCGTCCAGGGCACATACCCGGGTTGCAGGCTCGATCCCCAGTGGAGGAGTAGGCAGGAGGCAGCCAATCAGTGATTCTCTCTCATCCATGTTTCTGTCTCTCTCCTTTCCTCTCTGAAATAATACATATATATATATATATGTACACACACACGAAAAAAAAGTATTTTTTTTCCATATATATATGAAAAAAAGGTTGAGGCCAGATGATAAGAGGCCTTAGATGTCATGCAAAGGCCTTTCTATTCTGGGGTAGTGAAGGCTGAGCAAGAATTCTCTGATCACAAACGGTGAAAGGCTGGAGGGAGCAGGACTGTCAGAGACGCAGTGTGTGAGGTGATGGCCGTCTGGAAAAGGGAGTAGAAAGAATGAGGCTCCAGGTCTGTCAGGAGGTAGAAGTGATAAGACGAGGGCATTGATTGGATATCCTGGGTCAAGGTGAGGATTCAAGGTTGACACCCTGCCTTTTGGCTCAGCCACAGGGAGAGTAGTGATGCCATTTATTTGGGGAATAAAAGAGGCAGAGCAGATTGGGCATTAGTTAGATTTAATTGGTTGCAAGTATCAAAAACCAACTCAAGCTATTTTAAATAGTAATGCATCAAATACACTGAGGTGCCTCAGAAAGTGCCCGAATCAGGAATTGGGACTCACACGGCTTCTTTTACATTTGATTCATTCATCTGCAGACCATTCCCTTAGTTACTTATTAGTCTTCATTGCAGAAAGATGGCCACCCACACCTCCTTGTTTTTTCATTTCCTTCCTTTTAGTGGTCAGCCAGATTGAACTACAATCTGAGTCCCAATTCTGGTTTTTCGGGAGAGATCGGTTTGATTTCAGTCACTCGTCAATTAGCTACAGTTGGGGGGTGGTTAGCACCATATTCTGTCTCCAGCTGTCGCAGAGTCAGATTTCAGCTCTTGATGTATCTGAGGAGTTAGGAATGGTCGTGAAGTGGATACTTGGTCTTCTTTTCCCCTCTTATTCTTGCTCCCACCCAAGCTACCTCCAGACGCTGGTCGATTGTTGATTTCGTGGGCTCAGAGGATGCAGACTTCTAAAAGAGAATATAGAAAACCCAAATTAAAAGAGCAAGTCTACTGAAAGAGCTTTCTGACGGAATGTGCATTCCAAAGCAAACAGGGATTTTCTGCTTATTTGGATCAGTATGACCCACACTTTCAGATTCTTTACTCCAGTAGTGGAGAGGTTGAAGCTATGAGATGGATTGTTAACCAGATAACTAAGACTTGACTGCAGTGGTTTAAGCTAAGATTTAGGCCTGAACAGAGAGGGAAAGATTGCCCACTAACAGTCATGGGGCACTTGCTTAACATCTGACATTGGCTAGGACTTTGTGGCTCTGAAAGGTGTTATTCCTAGTTGACAGATGAAATAGAAGTTTAGAGAACAGAGGCGATTTGCCTAAGATCACACAGTTTGGTGGTAGCAGAAATCGTATATGCACCAGAGAGGTTTTGTTCCGACTATTGAAAAGATAGAAGAGCCTCGGACAGACAGAAATAGGAAAGCAATACAATGAGGAGTGCAAAACGGGAGAGAAAATGATAATCTAACTGAAATGCAGATGTAAGCAGGAGGCATTTCAGACCAAAGAGTAAAAACGTTGGTGAATTAAGCTGATTGGGATAACAGCAGAGAGCAGTGCAGTAGTGATCTGAGTTTGGAGCCCTGAGTGGAGGTGTGCGTGGGGGTGGCAGGAGAGAGAGAGAGAGAGAGAGAGAGAGAGAGAGAGAGACTGTCTGTCTCTGACTCTGTCTGAGCTTGGGCCCTATTTCCTCCTTGGCTCCTGGCCCCGGCCACTAGTGACTGCTTTTCGGAGAGGCAGTCTGGGAGAAGCAGAGCCTGAGGAGATAAGAGAGAGGCTGCTGTGGGGAATGAGGCTCCGATAGATTAGCAGGTCCCACTGGGCTTAGCTTAATGGAAAGTGTCTGTTTCCGTTCTTGCTCAGCAGTCTCGGGGTGTGTGTGTCTTGTCACTCTTGGCAGCTGGAGCAGAGAGGACAGTGGTGGCCATTGAGGTTCAGGCTCTTGTGAGGCCAAGAAGAAATACAGTCCTTTCTTCTTAGGAGCCCTAGCTGTTTGGCTCAGTGGATAGAGCATCAGCCCGTGGACTGAAGGGTCCTGGGTTCGGTTCCGGTCAAGGGCATGTACTTCCATTGCAGGCTTGATCTTGGGGGGTGGGGGCCAACCAATCCGATATGTCTGTCTCACATCAATGTTTCACTCTCTGTCTTTCCCCTCTCTTCCACTCTCTCTAAAAATCAATGGGAAAATATCCTCAGGTGAGGATTAGCCAGAGAGAGAGAGAGAGGGAGGGAGAGGGAGAATATATCAGTTTGTGCCTCCAAAAATGGGGAGTGCCTGTTCTGGCCTGCACACTTCTCCCAGCCCTGGTGCTCTGGTATTGCTGCATCACCCGTTTCTCTGGGTCCACGGCACGAACCCACTGAGATGGCCATCCTCTGGTCTTTAGTACTCTGTAGGAGTGGGCTCCACAGCTTCCATTTAATTCGTTCCTGTGGAAAACAGTGTCAGTTCCTCAAAAAGCTCATTAGAATGACCATGTGATCTAGCACTTTCACTCCTCGGTGAAAACAATTAAAAGCAAGGATTCAGACGGGTTCTTGTGCACCACTGTTCACAGCAGCATTACTCACAGGTGCCAAAGATGGCAACAGCCCAAGTGCTCATCTGCAGATGAGTGATCAGCACAGTCTGGTATATGCATACTCAGGAATATTATTCAGCCTTAAAAAGGATTGAAATGTGGATGCCTGCTATAACGTGGATGGGTTTGAAGACCTTATGCTAACTAAATAAACTATACACAAAAGGACACATCTGTATAATGCCACTTCCGTTAGGAACCTGGATAGGCAGATTCATAGAGGCGGAAAGTAGAGGAGTTGTTACCAGGTGCTGGAGGGTGGGGAGTGGGAAATGGTGTTATCAATTAGTAGGTACAGAGTTTCTGTTTGGGATGATGGAAAAGTTCTGAAACCTGGCCGGCCTAGCTGGATGGTTGAGTGTTAGCCTTTGAACCAGTAGGTTTGGGGGGGGGGGGATAAAGGGTGAGGGGAGGGTGTGTGTGGGGTGGGGACGCTGTGTGTGTGCAGGAGGCAGCCTATCAATGATTCTCATAATTGATGTTCTCTCCTCCCTTCCTCTCTGAAATCAACAACAACAATATATATATGGTTCTAGAAATAGTGGTGTTTGTTATACAATATTGTGAATGTACTTAATGCCATTGAATTGTACACATAAATGGTAAATGTTACGTTATATGTGTTTTGCTATGATAAAAAAGCCCAGTATGCTTCTGTATCTCTCATCATCAAGGAAGTTCTCCTTGAGTCTAAATTAAGTACTGTGGGCTGAAGCTAAGCCCATTGCTTCTGGCCAGTTCTTGATAGAAGCTGAATTGATTTGCTTTTAAAATGCTCCAAGGCAGCTGTATTTCCTCCTCCCTCCATCCTTCCCAGGGTGACAGGAGAATATATGACACATCTTTTATCACTTGGATTGCTCATCTCTCTGCTTTTTGGAACTCTAAACCAAAATTTATTATCTTTCGTGAATATTTGGATAATTCCTTGCTGGGCTTTCCTGTCAGTTGAAAAAGATAAGCAGAGGATTGGAATTTGTGTAGAATCTTGGAGGTGATTCCTGCTTAATCATCTTTATTTATAGATGCCCAAGTCCTGAGATCAAATGGAAAGCTTTTAAGGTTCTTGGTTTGTGATTACTTTTAAAAATGAAATGTTAAAGCTTGTTGTTCATATGCCTTGCATCTTTCTGGTAGTTGAAGATACTAAGAATTAGTATTGAGTTAAAAGTTTAAGATATTTTTCAGTGTGAGAGCTTGTATTTGAAACAGTTCTGATGAGTCAGAGGCATAATTCAGATGACCTTCTGTCTTGTCCAGATTCTCACAGTCATCATTGCTTGCCTTCTTTCTGGACATGAACAACTGTTGAGCAGATAATAGATCATACTCGGAGAGGGAATGGATTTCTCCAATGGCTTTGACCTTTAATGCCTCATAGAGGAGTAGTTAACACACCACTTAACCCCACAGGAGTTGCCTGGCCCTGTGGTTATGTAGTCTATATAAGTGGTTTTAGAAGTGAAGCCGAGATTAGGTGAGATTGTGGGCCAAATCCCATCCATCTTCTAGTGGACAGACATATAGGAAGAATGAGTATAGCTTTTTATAATAGAAAGAACTAAAAATGGATGCACCAGGGTAAGAGAATGACAGACCAGGGGAGGGTCTCTGACGACTGTGAGAGCAGGCGGGGGCTCTGCCGGGGGCCTGGGCCGAGGGTGGGTGTGCCCTTCGGAGGCGCTTTGTGCAGTGCTCCCCCCCCCCCCCCCCCGGCCCCCACTGTCTCCCATTGTCTCCCCTCCCCTTCACCAGGAGGCCTTATTCCATCTCTTTTTCTCTTAGTCAGATTCCGAGGAAGATGAACCCACAAAGAAGAAAACTGTCCTTCAGGTAAGCTCCTGGCACAATAGCAGCCATTTTTCTCTTCCCATGTTAGTTCCTAAAGGACAGGATTTCGATGCTCAGCAGCTCCCAGGTCAGGCTCAGAACACACGCAAGCGTTTGAGGACCAACTATTTCAGCACGATTTTGTTTCCTTCGCTAACATCAGGCTTGTGCCTCTCTGCCCTCTCCTCAGTTAGTGTGGTAGTGTTACCTCTTACAGGACAGGAGCGGTAGGGAGATGAAGTGGAACTCAATTTGATTCATTATGTCTCAGGTAAAAGGATTATCTAGGAAAGATAGAATCAATGGATTCAAAATGATGTTAGGGAACATCTGTAATTTACTTTCAAAATTTTAATTTTTCCATTAAAGTTGACATACAGTATTATGCTTCAAGTGTACAACATAGTGAGTAGACATTTATATGACTTAGAAAATGATCACACCTTTCTCATACCCACTTGACATCATATATAGTTATTACAATGTTATTGACTATATTCCCTTTGTATCCCCATGGCTGTTTTATAACTGCTCATTTGTATTTCCTAATCCCTTCACCTTTTTCATCCAGCCCCTCAACCCCCCTCTCATCTGGCAGTGATCCATTTGTTCTCTGTATTAATGAGTTTGTTTTGAGAACATCTGTATCTTAAAATTATTCATCTTCTCCCTGTCTCATTTTTAAACTGGAAAATAAACACTTCAGTAGCACTTACTGTGTACCAGGCACTGTTCTAAGTGCTTTAGTAGCATCTAATTGATTTAATCCTTATAATATTGCCTGTCATGGTGTTATCATCATCTTGTATTACATCTGAGGAAACAGAGATTAAAGAACTTGCTGAAGATCAGACAGTTCTGTGTGTGTGTGGAGGGGGAGCGACGATAAGGCAGAGCTGGAGAGCTGAGATTTAGACTCAGGTGGTCTGCCTATGGACCAAGCTCCTAGCTGTTATATTTGGCTGCTGCTCCGTAGCCAAGACCCAAGGTCCTCAACCAGACAGTGCCAGGAGGCGGTCTCTCTGCTGTTTTCTTTGTTTCCCCCATCCAGTTTCCTTATTCTGGCTCCCAAGCTTTTTCCTGTTATACTTCACATTTAGGACTGTGCTATCAGCATGGCTTCCTGGGGTAGGGAGATGGGCCTAGAGAGTGATGGGAGGCCACTGGCTCAGGTCAGAGGGCACCGCAGTGTAAAGAGCAGCTTTCGGGGTGGCAGGAAGAGATGAGGTTAGAGAACCTCCATTTCTTGGAGGACCAGTGGTGACCTTACTCCATCCCTCTTATAGTTCGGCCAGGCTGGCCCTATAGCACACAGAAAGCAGAACCTGAGATTCTGTAGGTTAAATGCTTGACTCTGACATAAACGAGCTGAATATAACACATCTTTAGGACTTTTCCTGGCAAAGGAGGGACCATTTGGCAACATGTATGAAGGTCTCTTTGGACAGAGCCTTGTTCTTGACTTTAGGGCAATCCAAAGGCGGCAGCAAGTTCCCTTTAAGAGGAACCTTCAGGACATGGAGAGAGGTCAGGTGGACAGCTGAGAGAGCCCTGGGCTTTTTGGGAGGAAGGATGATGAGGTTAAGTGCATCATATTTGACAAGAACATCAGGGGAGGCTCCGTGGCAGAGCAGTGGGGCTGGGTGGGGGTGGAGCCAAGGAGAACAGGGATGACATCTTACCTGGGAGGAGCAGCCCGCAGAAAAGAAGGGCCTGAGATAGGAGTTAGGCCCAGATTGGATCACTGGAGGAGGTGAAGGTGAGAAAGCAACAGGGCCGATAAGATTTGAGGCTCGAGCAAAGATCTGTAATTCTTGTTCTTGACATTAGCAGTACATATCGTAACAGTTCACTTGTCATCTTTCTTTCCTGCTTCCCTGAACCGGGCTCACCAGGGATCTGGCCAGGGGACCGGTTTGTCTGCCTTGCTTCCCCAACCTAAAAACCTGACTGTGAAAGAGACTAACAGGTTGCTCCTGCCCCATGCCTTCTCTCGGAAACCCTCGGATGGCTCCTCTGACACTAAGCCCTCCAGACAGGCTTCTAAGACCAAGCCCTCCTCTCTTGCCCCTGTTGTGGGCACCACAACCACCACGCCATCGCCCTCCGCCATCAAGGCTGCTGCCAAGAGTGCCGCCCTGCAGGTGACGAAGCAGATCACACAGGAGGAGGACGACAGTGATGAGGAAGTGGCCCCCGAGAACTTTTTCTCCCTCCCTGACAAGGCTGAGCCGCCTGGAGTTGAGCCATACCCTTACCCCCTTCCCTCTGTCCCTGAAGAGCTGCCTCCCGGCACGGAGCCAGAGCCCGCCTTCCAGGATGACGCAGCCAATGCGCCCCTCGAATTCAAGATGGCAGCAGGCTCCAGTGGGGCCCCTTGGATGCCCAAGCCTGGGGACGACTACAGCTACTGTCAGTTCTCCGCATATGGCGATGCCAATGCCGCTGGTGCTTATTATCAGGTGGGTAGCAGAGAACGTCGGAGCCTGGCGGTCGGAGAGCTTTGGGCCAGAGATACAGCCTCTGGGCATCGCTTTGGCTGAACTAAAAATCTTCCAGTGGTTTTCCTATACCTCTCCGGCCTCATTATGACAATCATTTCCTGCTAGCCTGGGACGGTTGGAAGGCTTAAGTCCTTTCGACCACTGTGATTCTCTGACTGGTCAATGTTACTCTTATTTTCAGTTTGGGCATGGGTAGGGACCCTTTTCAGATCAGGAACTCGAACAATTGTGTTTCCTAGGTGTTGGCTGTTAAACCTTGTTTCATCCATCGCTAATCAGGGACAATCTGTCTTCCCTATACATTGTTAGAAGGAAAGAAGATGAGAGTGTTTTGACTTCTTTGGGGGAGAGGGGGAATGAGATGCTATTTAAATCAGAAACCTCTTGTTTACATTCAGCAAATGAATAACAAAATGGAGTTCTGTGTCCAGTTATAAACATCATTAAGGCAATCTATGCAAATTAAGGCACTTTAAATACACTAGGGGACCCTGTAATGTAAATATCTTACTGTGAATTGAACAAGGAGAGGGTTAGGGGGCTGACATCCCCCATCCCTGCACAGTCCAAAGCCTTCTTACAACTTTCCATTCCCCAAAAACTTAGCTACTATTAGCCTACTGTTGACTGGAAGCTTTACTGGTAACAAATAGCTGATTAGCACATATTTTGTATATTATGTGTATTATGTACTACTATATTCTTACAATAAAGTAAACTAGAGAAGAGGAAATACCTTTACAGTGTTGGACAAACTCCACATGTAAGTGGAGCCATGCAGTTCAAATTCCTGTTATTCAAGGGCCAGCTGTACTATGGAAAATCATAATCGTTCTGGATTTTTATATAGTATTTTGATTTAGTCACTATTAAACCTTATTTCCGATTTAGCTCTCTATAAAATGAATGTTCTTACAGGGCATTTGGAATTTTGGGCAAAGGTGGAAGGATTAGGAAAAATGTGGGCAGGGTAGACACAGTTTCTCAGCCCCATGGCTGCCTGGCTCGGCTTCAGCAGGGGCCTTGCCTTCTAGGGTCCGACATCTGCACAGCTCACCCCTAAGGAGAAGCATCAGATTCCTGAACCAAAAATTCTGTAACACAAACTTGCTCTGTCCCCTGCTTTGGGAATTCCATACTGCCACAAGGTGGTTGTTTTTGGCATCAGGGGCCCAGAAGCCTTCCTGCCCATTCATTATGGGCAGTCTCCCTGTGACTAAGCCCTAAATAGGATGAGGAACAGAAATGACGGCCTCACCTCTTCTGCCCCTTCTCACATCAGAGCTTATTAAGGACCTATGAGCAGAAGCAGAGCCGGGGGCACAGTAAATACAAAGGTGGGAATCACTCTTGGGAAGCAGCTTAGGGAGCAGGGTGTAAACTGAAGCAGGAGAGAATCTATTTCTTGTCACCCTTTCCTAAAAATACCCATCTGTCTGCATGACGCATAACAGGAAAACTGCAAAAATTGTCTTGAATTGTGGGAGAGGTCCTTAGGATCAGTGCCTTTAACGGGTCCATCTGAGGGCATCACCATTACCTCTTGGATGAGGGTGTTCTTGGTTCCTGGGCAGACCTTGTCCCCACTCCACTGTGCCCTGAGTTGACGTGCCTTTTTCTTTCCTTGGCTGCAGGATTATTACAGTGGTGGCTACTATCCTGTACAGGACCCGACCCTGGTACCCCCCCAGGAAATTGCTTCAGATGCCTCCTTTATCGATGATGAAGCAGTAAGTTAACAAAGCACAAGTGACCGTCTTTGACCCACAGGCAAATCTGAAGCTAAAGGAAATTCTCTTGAAAACTATTCAGTTAGGACTAGGTGTGGTAGCACATAGCTGAGAATCTCCAAATAATAGGGCTTCTGTAAGAGAAGGTCATTATTTTCCTCACAAAAGAAGACTAGAGGGGGCGAGCCAGGCAGGACTGGTGGGACAGTTCCACAAAGTTGTCGGGTCCAGTCCCTCCGGATCATTATTTTACCACCTCTGGATTGTGGCCTTTATTTTTATGGTCAGTGACAGCAGCTGAGGCTACAGCTGCCACATCTGCAGTGCATCTAGCCCTCTGCTGTTGGGTGGGAAAGAAAGAGGAGAGACATTTCCCCCCCTTTTTTTCCAAGTTCACTTCCACTGCTATTTCATTGACTGGAATCTGGTCACATGGCCTTACCAGGTTGTAGGGGAGCCTAGGAAATGTAGTCCTTTAGTTGGGTGATAATATATGTAGGCAAAGTCTTGGTTCATTCACTGGACAGGAGAAGGGAAGAATGGATTTGGGAAGGAACAGCAGCCACACTAAGTAACTCCTGATGTTCATGTGACTGGATCTCCTGCTGCTGAGCTTCTCAGCCTCCGCGCAAGGGAATATAAAACCTTATGTCCTATGGCCATCAGGCCATGTTCAGGTCATAAAGTATTGTTTTATCTATAGGGTTGTCATAGCCTATTGAGAGGAGGGACTGGAAATAGAGGCTGCTTCCTCTTTGCATGCAGATTCTTAAAAAAAAATATATTTCTAGCCCCGTTGGCATGTGCAACAACAACAATAAAAACCAATTTCTATTTACCTGTTCACAGAAAGGTGTGAACCTTTGCATACTTCTTTGCCTGTGGTTAATATTGTGTGTGTGTGTGTGTGTCCCCTTTTTTTTTTTTTTTTTTTTTTTTTTTTTTTTTTTTTTTAAATATATTTTATTGATTTTTGTACAGAGAGGAAGGGAGAGAGATAGAGAGTTAGAAACATCGATGAGAGAGAGTCATCGATCAGCTGCCTCTTGCACACCCCCTACTGGGGATATGCCCGCAACCAAGGTACATGCCCTTGACCGGAATCGAACCCGGGACCTTTCAGTCCCCAAGCCGATGCTCTATCCATTGAGCCAAACCGGTCTTGGCCTTTTTTTTTTTTTAAATAGTGCTTTAAAAAAATATTTTTATTGATTTTGGAGAGGAAGGGAGGGGAAGAGAGTAGAGACATCAATGAAGAGAGAATCACTGATCGGTTGCCTTCTGCATGCTCCCCACTGAGGATCAAGCCTGAAATCCAGACATGTGCCCTGACTGGGAATTGAACTATGACTTCCTGGTTCATAGGTCGATGCTCAACCATTGAGCCACACCGGCCAGGCTGTATGTCCTTCTTGACAAGTTCCATAGTTAGGTTCTTTTTGTTCCAAGTCTGAGAGGCCTCAGGGAGCTGCTCGTCCATGGCAGAAGTCAGTTTATTGTGGGTAAAGTGGCCTAGAGGCCTCATTAATGCTCAGACAAGGACCTGGCTCTCACTGAAATCCGAATGTTTTGATTCCTCAGCACCCACACTCCCTTCCAGGAACATCTTTGGGTGACTGTTAAGTGATCTATTTGCTTCGTGAGGGGGAAGAGGAAAGAATAGTGCGTGGTTTCCTAGAGAATTTGCCAGGCCTTTTCCTATAAAACTCCCTCTCTATGCACCTCCATGTTTTCTCTCTCTGATGTCTGCTCTGGTCTGGGGTCTGCTGAATTGGTGATACCAAACCAATGAGAAGGAGGAATAGACATGTAAAAAGAACTGATTTCCAGAGAATTCCTAGATTTTTTGTATCCCAAATTGTTAATTTGAAAACTATGCTATCCTGGCCCTGACTGGTTTGGCTCAGTGGAGAGAGCGTCGGCCTTCAGATTGAGAGTCCCAGGTTCAATTCCGGTCAAGGGCATGTACCTTGGTTGCAGGCATATCCCCAGTAGGAGGTGTGCAGGAGGCAGCTGGTTGATGTTTCTTTCTCATCGATGTTTCTAACTCTATTTTTCACCCTTCCTCTTTGTAAAAAATCAATAAAATATATATATATTTTTTTTTTAAAGAAGAAAACTATGCTATCCTTTAGGAAGATACGATTTATAGTAATATGAGTGCAAATTCATACAAATTATTTTCAGTACTCACTTATGTTTGGAAATGTCTCTTGACCTTCCTTTCCCTGAGTCCAGGAGAACTGAGAAGTAGCCATGCATCTGGCATCAGGGCAGCTTGGCAGGGAGCAGGGTGAAATAATATATTACAGAGGGGAAGGGAGGATGCAATGGAATTGGGGAGTCACGAAACCATTTGATAACATATGGGTCCTTAGCCACATCTCCTAATCCTACTCCCCACTCCTGCATTTTTCTCCTTTCCCAGTTTAAGCGGCTGCAGGGCAAGAGGAACCGCGGGAGGGAGGAGATCAACTTTGTGGAGATCAAAGGTGATGACCAGCTCAGTGGGGCCCAGCAGTGGATGACCAAGTCATTGACAGAAGAGAAATCCATGAAGTCATTCAGCAAAGTAAGTGGGAAAAGTCTATTGAGGGGCAAACGTGGGAGGCCCCAGAGCAGAATGTGGTCCTGCTCCTTCCTGTTACTGTCAGCAGCGAATTTAGCAAGTGCCTGTTGTCAGCGGTATTAGAGCATGCACTAGCCTCACAGACACTGCTTCTGCCTCCAGAACTTTGCAGTACATTGCTCTCCATCTGGACGGTGGAGTCTGGTTGCTGAGATGGATGGTGGAGCAGTTTCCCAGTTGGGAAGATGCTACCATGTGTTGTGGCCCCTTCCGTGGCTGGATAGAACCCATAGCGTCCCTACCCTCTCCCTACTGCCATGCCCTCTCTCCATCCCATAAGCTGGGACCCGGTTCAGCATATCTTTGAGGTATGGGTACCACAGCGCTCAGAAGCCCCGGGATCCTAGGTTCTCAGTGTGCACCCCCTCCTTTCTCCTTTCCATTATTTATTGTAGCCATCTGTGGTCTTTTTTAAAAATTTGTTTTTATTGATTTTAGAGAAGAAAGGAGAGAGAGAAACATTGATGTCAGCTGCCTCCTGCACATACCCTGACTGGGGATTGAACCCACAACCTGGGTATTTGCCCTGACCAGGAATCAAACCAGCAACCTTTTGGTGCACAGGATGACAATCAACCAACAAAGCCACACTGGCCAGGACCACTTGCGGGGTCTTTTCATATGCTATATTCCTCGCATTCCCACACCACACTCCCACCTTCTTTGGGCTAGTTGTCTTCATTCAGAATGATGACCATCTACCTAGTAGCTGAATACAGCAAATGTGGACAATTATGAGCCTGCCAAAAGGGGAGAATGGGGGGAAACCTTGGACTCCAGCCCAGCACCAGCAAGGCCAAGGTCGGGCATCTTATTACCTTCTCTCGTTTGTTTTATTTGCAGCCACAGATGGCCATCTGAGCCCTAGCCATTTGTTTTAACTGAATGCTGGCGGTCATATAGGACAGAGCAAAGGATAGTGGTTAGATCAGTATAGATCCATCACTGTTTACTGGAAAACCCACTTAGAGCATGCTCTACTAACTGTGGGGGGAGAGAGTTACCATTACTCAGTAACAGTGACCGTTGTTAATGCTCACTGTGGGCCAAGGATGGCGCTGGATGTTTCATGTTCCTCATCTTTAACTGTCACATTAAATGACATTAAGTAGCAGCAAGGAATTGGAGCTTGCTATTTTCCCTGGTCTAAGTTTCCTTTCCACCATCTCAATACATCGAGCTAGATTTTTTAAAAAGACAGGCCCTGGCCATTGTGGCTCAGTTGGTTGTTACCATCCTGTCACCGAAGGTTCTGTTCCCGGTTAGGGCACACACTTAGGTTGTGGGTTCAGTCTCCTGTTGGGAGTGGGTTTGGTTCCCAGTTGGGACATTTTGGGAGGCAACCAATTGATGTTTCTCTCTCTCTCTTTCTCTCTCTGTCTCTCTTCCTTCCTCTTTCTAAAATCAACAAATGTATTCTCTAGTGAGGATTAGAAAAAATAAAAATAAGCCCGGCCTGTGTGGTTCAGTAGTTGAGCACTAACCCATGAACCAGGAGGTCACGGTTCTATTCTTGGTCAGGGCACCAGGGCACATGCCCAGGTTTCCGGCTTGATCCCCAATAGGAGGCGTGCAGGGGCAGCCAATCCATGGTTCTCCCTCACTGATGTTTCTATCTCTCCTTCTCCCTTCCTCTCTTGAAATGAATAAAGAAATATTTTAAAAAAATAAAGTAAAAATAAAAACGAAGATAAAGATGCGGATCTTGTCTCTGCGGAGTTCACAGTGCAGTTGGGGAAAACAGATTTAAGGACACTTGAGTATAAATGATTATAGTGCAAATTGATTACATAAGTGCTGAGGAGACTCCAGAGAGTTTGGGAGTTGGGTGGGGCTAATTAGGAAGCTTCTAGTCTGAGACAACACTGGCAGAGGACAGAAAAAGCACAGAGTGAAAGCCCAGACCAATACAGATTTTGACAGTAAATCTTTCGCATCATAATTTGGTTAGGGGTTCAGTGTAGTTACGGGTGAGAGGTGGAGAGATGGTGAAAATTTCAGTTCCAAGGAAGCTGGATGGGGGAGGTGGGGATTTAGCCAAAGGTGATTGATGGTAGAGAGTTTGGTAAACAGTACCCGTGTTTCCCCGAAAATAAGACATCCTCCGAAAAGAAGATCTAGCGCATGGAAAGATAAGACATCCCCTGAAAATAAGACCTAGCGCAACTTTGGGAGAAAAAATTAATATAAGACACTGTCTTATTTTTGGGGAAATAGGGTAGGTAAGAGACAGGCTTGATATCTGGACTGACGAGAGTGGGGGACAGAGATGAACAGGGCTTGAGGGGTTGTGAGAGGGGAGGGAGGCCCATGCTCTGGCACTTACGCTGCTGTAGATGGACCATAGGCAATTCAATTGGTGTCGAGTGTTCACTGTGGGCAGAGCTTGGTGCTGGGGTGGGATGGGTTTATTAAGAAATAGAAGACAGAGTTCTGACAAAGTATTTCCAGTCTAATGGGGATATTAGCAGGCTATTTCAGGCAAGTATTCCGAGCTTGGGTTTTTTTGCATAAGAGCTTTAATAAAAATAATTGCTTTGTAAGTATATAGGCATAAAAACAGCTCCAGACGCACTTTTCTCCCCCAGGACTTGGGCAGTGTCTTTGGTTTCCCATTCCCCATCATTGCACCATCTGGGCCCCTGAAAAACTGCTTTTCTTCCTGTGGGCTAATGGCTGTGTTTTCTCCCCTTGCAGAAGAAAGGTGAGCAGCCAACAGGCCAGCAGCGGCGGAAACACCAGATCACGTATCTGATTCATCAGGTGAGAGCGCCGAGAGCCCTGCCTGCCTGGCAGGATCCCTAAAACCTGAGAGTTTAAAGGCTGACCTGGAAGCCAGGTGGCAGGCACCAACTCTGGGAAAGCGTCCTCTGCCATTCTCCAGGTGGCCACTAGGAGTGTGTGTGTCCTTCAGAATTACTGCTCTGTGTCATTCTCCTTTCATATAAAACCCAGGTACAGGTGCTAAAGTAAACTCTGTCCAAAACATGAATGTAGGGGGAGTGAAATAGTTTATGGCTGCCCCCGGCAAGCCCCCCTGGGGATCGAGCTGGCAACCCGGGCATCTCCCTTGACCAAATTCAAACCACCTCCTCCCCTCCCCGCCTTCGCGTCCTCCCGCTGGCCCCCTCGCTCCCTCTGCCCCAGCCACACTAGGCTAATGCTCTGTCCATTGAGTTAAACTGGCCAGGGCTTTTTTTAAAAATATATTTTTATTGATATTTTAGTTTAATTTATATGAGTTTCAGATGTCCGTCATAATGGTTAGACATTTATGTAATTTATGAGGTGGTTCCCCCAATAAATCTAGTACTCATCTGGCACCATCCATAGTTATTATAATACTAGAGGTCCGGTGCACAAATTTGTGCATGGGTGGGGTGGGGGGGCAGGGACTTCCAGAGGTTGGCTGTGGAGCACACTGACCACCAGGGGGCAGCTCCTATATTGAGCATCTGCCCCCATTGTCAGTGCGCTTCACAGTGACTGGTCAACCAGTCATCTGGTTGCTTAGGCTTTTATATATTTAGATTGACTATATTCCCTGTGCTATATTCTATTATATAAATATATATTTAAAAATATATTTTATTGATTTTTTTACAGAGAGGAAGAGAGAGAGAGATATAAAGTTAGAAACATCAATGATAGAGAAACGTCGATTAGTTGCTTCCTGCATACTCTCCCTGGGGAGGTGCCTGCAACCAGCGTACATGCCCTTGTCCAGAATCGAATCCCGGACCCTTCAGTCTGCAGGCTGATGCTCTATCCACTGAGCCAAATTGGTTTTGGCTTATTATACTTAAAAAAAAAAAAAAAAAAAATTTGATTTCAGAGAGGAAAGGAAAAAGAGAGAGAAACATCAATGATGATAGAATCATTGATGGCTGCCCCCTACTGGGGATCGAGCCTGCAACTCGGCATATGCCAAAGCCGGAAATTGATATTAGCCTATAATTTTCTTTTTCTTTTTTTTAATGTTTTGTCTAGTTTGGGAGGCCACAGTTTGATTCCTGTCAGGGCACATGCTCAGATTGTGGGCTCAATCCCCAGTGGAGGTGTGCAAGAGTTAGCCAATCAGTGATTCTCTCTCATCATTGATGTTGCTTCTACCTTCCCTCTAAAATAAGTAAAAAAATATATTTAAAAATATTCTCTCTTGCCGAAGCCGGTTTGGCTCAGTGGTAGAGCGTTGGTCTGCGGACTGAAAAGTCCCAGGTTCGATTCCGGTCAAGGGCATGTACATTGCTTGCGGGCACATCCCCAGTAGGGGGTGTGCAAGAGGCAGCTGGCCGATGTTTCTCTCTCATCGACGTTTCTAGCTCTCTATCCCTCTCAATTCCTCTCTGTTAAAAATCAATAAAATATATTAAAATATATATATATATATTCTCTCTCTTTTTTTAATTTCTTTTTTTTATAGCAAAGGTAGAAATTTATTAAAGAACAAGTACAGACTCCCATGTGTGGAGGGGGAAGCGTCCCACAGAATGGACTCCCACATAGGGAAGGGAAAGGGTCCCCTAAAAATATTCTTTAAAAAAAATCGAACACCTCAGTTTGACTCTCCCTTGCCCCTTCTTCCTTGCCACAGGCTAAGGAGCGAGAGCTGGAGCTGAAGAACACTTGGTCCGAGAACAAGCTCAGCCGCCGGCAAACCCAAGCCAAGTACGGGTTCTAGGCTCCGGACCTGCCTGCAGATCCCAGGATCGCCAGCAGCCCCGCTGGCCCCGCCCTTTGGGGCACCAGCTGCCCCAAGCCCAGGACCTCTCTCCTTGAGGATCTAGCCCTCGCCTCTGCGAGAATGAACATATTTGATAGATTTTTCTTACAAAAGTTAGAAAACTCGGCTCCTTTCTGTCTTGGAGCTAGCAAAGACTCGAGTGACGCCTCCGAAGGGGCTCGGAGTTCTTGGATGGGAATTTGCTCCCTATTGGGTGTGATGAAATGTTGAACCCCTCCCTCCGCCCTTTTTTTTTTTTTTTTTTTTAAACCAGGGATGTCTGTTGAAATAAAACATTCAGTCTGACAGATGCTGCCTGCCCTGCGTCCTTTCCTACTTTTCAGTATGGCCTCCTTTTTCGTTTTGGATCTATCTCACTTGCTGTCCTGTCCTTGTGTCTGTTTTCACCTTGTGTAAAGCATTCCCCAACCATCCTGAATTGCCTTGATGGTTACCTTGTCTTCTTCTCTTTCTACCTAACCTAAATACAGAGAAACTAGGTTCGTGGCCATTGAAGACCTAGGAGTTACATGTAAATTGTGTTTGGGGCAGGAGTTTCTAATCTCAAACATGGGAAAGTTCTTGGGTGTCTCTGAAGATTAGAGGAAGCCAGGAGTTTCTTTCTGTGACATGAAAGAGTTGTTAGACATAAAATTCATTCCTGCAAGAGGTTTCCCTGAAGATGATTTCAGTTTACCAGAAATTGGCCTAGACTGATTTGGAAGCTTTGCATAGAGCTGGGAGCTAACCAAGTCTGAGAGACTTTTGGATCCCTAGCTTTTTTTATTTATTTTTATTTATTTTTTTTATTTATTGATTTTTGTACAGAGAGGAAGGGAGAGAGATAGAGAGTTAGAAACATCAATGAGAGAGAGTCATCGATCAGCTGCCTCTTGCACACCCTCTACTGGGGATGTGCCCGCAACCAAGGTACATGCCCTTGACCGGAATCGAACCCGGGGCCCGTCAGTCCCCAAGCCAACGCTCTATCCATTGAGCCAAACCGGTCCCGGCTGGATCCCTAGCTTTTTGCCAGCGAGGAAGGGATGGCTTGGGTGGGTGGTTGGAGAAGGGAGCTGGTGGGGTCTATGGATTCAGTTAGCTGTCAGGCTCAGTGATGCCAGAGTGACAAGATAGAAGGAAGGCATGGTTCCTCTGCCAGGGAAGGGTGCACAGAGGGAGGGAAGGCATGTGTACTGGTCACAAAACTGCAGATGGTCCTGAAATGTGTTGCTGAAGGCACTGGGACTCCAGTGGGGCTTAACCGCAGTGGCATCCTGCAGGAAGAGAGGGTTGAAGGAACTCCTGTGAGAAGAAAGGCCTTGGGTGCCAATCAGGAGCACTGATCGGACAGAGACGTTTGACTCCAGCTGGGAGCAGGGAATGTACAGAGGGATTGGTTTTTGACAGTCCTGGTGACGGGGAGGTTCAAGGCCAGAGGGGCAGCTTAGTGTGTGGTGGGGACTTGGGGCTGAGAGGGAAGAGGCAGCAGTGTGGCCTCTCACCATCCTGGTCCTGTGTGTTGGGTAAGTTGAGTCTGTTTGCCATTAAGTGCAGAGGAGGGTTTCATCACTTACAGGAAAACCACCCACTTATCTGAAATCTGACCTACTTTGGGGCTGGAGCCAGACAGGGCTCTGGATCCCTCAGGGACCTTCAGGCTGCAGTTGTCAAAATCGGTGCATTAGCTCCCACCACTCCCACCATCCACAGAGGCACTGGGGACTGAGATTGCCCCTCTGGGTGTCTTAGGTGGTGAGGCAGGTTTAACAGGGCCAAGCAGTCCGTTCTGAGGGGTGAGTGCTCTTTCCTGGACCCATTACGCTACAGGTGCAGCCCTGCTCCTGAGGTGCCATCCTCCTGGGACTGCAGTCAGCTTCTCATCCTTGGGGCTGCATCGTGATGTAGCGGGAAGGGCTCTGTGCCGGGAGGCAGGACGTGGTAGGGAGAGCCCAGTGCCTTCTGGGAATGACAGGCCAGATAGCTAAGGTTCCCTTCGCCTTTCGCCTCCTCTGATTCTCTGCAGGTCATTTTAAGCCACTATTTTTTAAAGCCACTTTTTGGTTCTATCCATGATAACATTTTATTTAGTGGATGGAGTTTCTTGGTCACCAAAATAAATTTGACAGGTTAGAAAGTTGACAACTTCATCTGGGTGGTAGCAGCCTCAAGTCTGGTAAACAGACAGGAAAGAGACAACAGGGATGAGGGAGAGAGGAGTAAGGGATGGCACTTGGTTAAAATCGGCAGGCAGCCACCAGGGGGCAGAGGGAGGAGGGGGTGAAGAACTTGGTCGGAGATGTATCCAAGTCGCATGGCAGGTTTTGGAGGGGCTGGGGCACCGTTCCAGTGTATTGACCAAACCGTAGAGCCTGGGAAGCTGAGCTATACAAGGATTCAACTTAAGAGACTGCAAAGCTGTCAGGGGTTTTCAGCTTCTGCCCCCTGGGGAGGGGTGTGGCCAGGTCTTCACCCCAATTGAGTGCTGAGCTTGCTGTCCAAAAAGTGAGTTTCTTGGAGGGGATAGTTGTAGTCCTGGGGACCTTGGGAAGCGCTGTGCTACCTGCTTCTAACCTTTTTGACCCTCTCCCTCAGCTTCCAAGTGGGTCCGGTGTTCGCAGGCCAGTAGAGATGGTTGAAGGGGGGCCTCAGTGATGAGTGGGCTCATGGGAAGCGATGTGCTGTGGAGTTGGATAGCTGAGGTTATGGAGTTCTTCTCACACATTGTAGGACACCTTACTGAGATTGTCTTCTGCTGTCCCTGAGGGAGCAGATAGGATGAAAGGGGCAGCTTAGGGGAGGCAGGAGCAGGTCAATGTGGAGGGTCGTCAGGGTCAGCCGTGGTGCCAAAGGGGCTGGAGCTGGAAGGTGTGGCCTTTCTTCAGGCTCTGAGGGGGCCTGGGGCTGGGGGTGGAGATTCCCCTCAGACCTGAGAGAGGGCTGTGCCAGAGAAAGCCCTGCCTGGAGGGATGGACTGGCCATGGGAGATTAGCAGGGAAATGACCCCCACCCCACCCTCAGCACCATGGCTCCAGCTCATTTTCCTATAAGAGTTACCTTCATCCTGAAGTTCCACCATAGCCTCAGATCTTAGCTTGGCAGCAAGCGAGCGAGCAGGACGGTGCTGGGGCCCGTGGTTTTGGTGAGGGGGAGGCTTCAGGGCTGGGCTCGCAGCTGGAGCTCTTGGGAGGATGGGGACCTTGTCCCTTTGCCTGGTGGAGGGGCCCTGTGTCTGAGGGAGAGCCCTGGGTTGGGATGGCATGATCTGGGCTTGACTGCGTCCAACTCCCTGCCACTTCTCACTAGATGTGTTTCCTATTTAGTTGAACCGAAGTCAGTCACAACGGGTCTGAGGTCCCTGTTAGCCCTGCTCTGCCAAGCCCTTCCTTCTGATGGTGTCTGAGCTGTGCAGCAGCCCAGTGTGCAAACAAGAGGCATTACTCCCATTGGAAAGGAATGTGAGGAATGGATGGACGCAGAGAAAAGGTTTCCTGCAAAGGTTATGCAGCCAGTTAGTACAGAGCCATATGAATCCAGGGCTTTGGACGCCAGCATCTGGATTCTCCCCCCGCCCCCCCCTGAGTGAGTCCAACCCGCACTGCGTGAAGGAGGGGGAGACGGAGGGTCACCGGTCCCACTCTGCCAGCCTCCAGCAGGCTTCGCTCCTTCAGAAACACCAAGGGGGTCACTAGGTAGTCCTGCCTCCTCCCAGCGCCTGCCCATCCTGTCAGCCTGTTTTCTGACTTTCTGATGCACAGCTCTTGCTATGCAGTGAACTCCTTTTTCTGCCTCCTCTCCCTGCCACAAGGAATCAGCCACTAGGTGACTCCCTGAGTCTAATCGGAGACCTTTCTTGCACTTTGGGCCTCTGATGTATGTAACCATCTGCTCCTGCCCTCCCTCCCCCCCCTCTTGCTCAGGAGGGGGTTTAGACCTACAGGCAGCAGGAAGTGGAACCCCAGCTCTGTTGACTCAGCAACCATGTTTCTCCTTAAGCTGATTAGCACTGGAGTGGAAAGGAGGGGAATTCGCTTGTCACTGGAGCTGGCACCTGCACCAGCGGGGGGAGCGTGGTGGTTGCAGCCCCAGGGCCTGTGAGACAGGCTGCAGGGATGGGCCTGGGGGATTCCTGTGCCTCTGGCAGGAAAAGGGGCCCTGATGGCACTGGCTGCCTTGAACAGGCTGCACAGACGGGACCCCTGGAGTACCTGGGCCTGCGTGGTTTTGGGGCGAGTGGGGGGCAGTCTCTGTTCTGAGCCCCAGTCTGAGACAAAAATAAGACCCAGGGCCGATGATTCCAGGTGGTTGAAGACCAGATTATGGGGTATGCCCTGGGGCAGGAGGCTGCTCTGAAGTAGGTCTGGGCAGAGGATGCTTCACAAAAGGGACAGGGAAGGGAACTGGCTTCCAGCGGAGGCAGAAGCCGGTGGCCTTGGCCTTGGCCTTGCTTGAAAGACACAAAAGAGTCTTGGAGCTCACACACAGTGCATGCTCCTCTTCCCAGTCTTGTGCTTGGCAGAGGGTGAGGGAAGGAGAGGTAGGGGCTACCCTCAACCCCTTCCCTCCCTGCTCCTTTCTCTCCTGGCATCACAGGAGACAGAGCCGCCCTCTGGCCCTGGTTGCCCGCTCAGTGAGGGAAGGTCTACTTTGCAGAGAAAGTCCGTGTCCCTCGTGCAGGTGTCTCTCAACACCCAGACCCTGCTCCCTCCCCCTGCAGTGGCAGGTCCATCACCTGCGCTTCCACTACAGGAGAGAGCCAGTGACTGAAAGAGCCTGGAGTATCTGGATTGCTGTGGGGGAAGGTGGTGGGTGATGATTTATTAGCCAGACAAGAATCAACAAACAAGTTCTAACATCTGTTCTGGCCAAACCAACCCTCAGAAAGCAGCAGCATTGGACCAGGGCCCAGACCCAAAGGCTCAGGGGACCAAGGAAATCAACTCTGTGAGGAGAGGCCAGGGCAGCGGGAGGCAGCAGGCCCTCCTAGCCCACATCCTCAGAGGAGCACCAGACACTGAGGACTCTGGGAGGGAGCCGGTGAGTGTGTCCCTAAGAGGAAGTGGGTTCCACGTCTGCTCCTCTGACCTCCGGGCTTCTCTGTGGGAGGCCCAGGCCTGTCAGGACAACAGGGCTACGCTGGGATCTGGAGGAAGGGAACCAGCACTCAGGACCCAAGACCCAATGCGGTGGAACCCAGGAAAGCCACCAGGTTTCCTAGCTAAGGAAATTTCTGACATTTCCTGTGAAGACGGTGGATGTGGGGTCAGGAACATAGCACTAAACCAGGGACTTAGGAGGCCTGGGTCCCAGTCCTTGACCTCAGCCAAGTCGCTCTCCCATTGGCTTTGTTTCCTTATCTGCACAGCAAGGGATTGGACTTGATCAATAAGGGCAAAAAGAGATGCTGCTCCTCTTCCTTCCCTCACCCACAGCAGACATCACTAATCAATCACCGTGCTCTTTTCTGCTGAGCTCAGAAATGACCTTAACATCCTTTCCTAGGCAGCGCCGCAGAGCCTTAGGCAGCAAGGACCAATGGATGGGAGCTGGGATACGAGGTGACACAGTTTTGCCATCTTTGCAATAGATGACAGCTGAGGTCCTTTCCAGCGTTGGTCAATCACCTTGTGCCATCTACATCTCCTCAGAAGGGCGCCTGGGTGTGTGTGAAGTTCTTTGGGCCTGATGTTCCAGGTTAGCCTCCCACAGCTCAGACACTGGCTACTGAGGGGGCCCTAGGGAGAGCCACGCCTTTCCTCTGTCCTGGATCTCCTGTGTAGGTTGTGAGGGAGGCTGTGTCCCCACGGAGGCGGGGGGTGGCGGGGCACAGGAGGGCCTTGTCCAGCCGCAGAGTTCTCAGAATGCAGCTGCTGGCCACCGGGATGCTGCAGAGAGAAGGACAGTCTTAGGCGACACCCTCTACCCTCCGCCTTTTAGGCCTACCTGCTGCCTGACAGCCCGAGACATCTGGTCTGAACAGACACTGGCCTGCACAGAGGAGGGCTAAATACCTCTTGTTCATTCAGCAAACATGTCCTGAGCGCCTGCTCTGCTGAGCACCCTGCTCTGCAAACCGAGAGGAGTGAGTCCCAACCCCCACCCTCAGGGGACTCACTCTGCTGGGCAGGGGTGGCCAGTGTCCCACGGGCTCAGTGGTGTGGCGGGTGAGTATAAAACAGTGGACACCTCTGTGGTCGGTCAGGGGAGTCTTTCCAAAGGAGGAGAAGGGCAAGATAGTCTTTTTTTTTTTTTTTTCCCCCATTTAACATTTTTTATTTTTTTGTTTCATTATTATTATTATTATTATTATTATTATTATTTTAACATATTTTATTGATTTTTAGGGCAAGATAGTCTTGCAGGCTGATTAGAAAGCTCCCAACTGGCAGGAGGGTGTACTTGCAGGAAGTTGGTATGAGCAGAGGGACTGGCGTGTGCAAACCCCAGGAGGCTCGAAACCACCTGGTGTACTGGGAGAAACATGACCAGCTCTGGGAGGGGGGGCGATAAAGTTGAAGAGGGCACCTTCCCAAACTAGCTTTCAGGAAGTCCTTCCTGTGATCTCGCCTTTCCCTGCACCCCCATTTACCTGGCTTCCTGGGACAGGCCTGGACCGGCACTTCCGAAGGACCGAGTGCTGGAGGATGCACGGTGGGCCCTCACCCCGTGACGGCACCCCCACCTCCACCTCCACCTCGGCGTAGATGTTGCTGGGGGCTTCCCCGGGGCTGCCCCGGCCCATGGCGTAGAAGGCTATGGGCTCATCGAGCTCCTGGTAGATGGGGTTGGAGGGCGTGGAGGGCAGGGCCCGGCAGGGTCGTGGCGCTGGGCTTGTGTAGGCTTCGGGGGACAGCAGAGGCTTGGTGGGGACAGGAGGCTTGGGCCTTGGTGGTGGCTGGGAGAGCTAGGAGAGAAAGGGATGCCAGGGAGAAGGGTGGGTCAGAGCAACCAGGTAGGGTCCCCGCAGGGGGCGGTGCCCAGCCAGAGCTCCAGCCCTCTGCAGACCCCCCTCCTCCCAGCGGCCACACTCCTCACTGGCCATGCCTCCTTTTAGTCTCCTGGGTCCTCAGCCCCCTTCTACCCTGCCTCCTCCCAAGTCCTCCAGCCCAGTACCTCCTTCTGCTCGCTGCCCCCCTCTTTCTGGGGGAGAGCTCTGGGCTTCTCCTTTTTGAAGACAGGGCTGTACTGGGGGGGTGGGTCCTGGCTTTTGCTCCCAGCATCTGATTCTTCAGTCCTTAGGGACAGTCCTGTTGGCTCTGGGGTCTGCAGGGGAAGGAGGCTTGAGGGACTGGGTGGAGCAGGGACAGCGGGTGGGGGTGGGAAGGTGACCCGGGAGGACAAAATGAACCAGTCCAGTGGAGGATGGGGCGAGGGACACAGAAATTTGGCCTGCCCTGGGTTCCCTGGGTGAAGCAGAGGGCACAGAGATGGCAAGGAGACCAGGGGGAAGGAAGGTGGCTCTTGTCACAGGCAATCTCTAGCTTTAAACGCAATTTCACCTGGAACACGGGGCCAGGCTGGTCCCCATTCCTGCCTGTGGTTGTAAACATGCAACAAGGCTGGCGAAGTCTTTGGCCTAACATTTTTTTTGGCAAGATAGATCTCCAAGACGGTTGTGCTTAGGTTTCTTTCTGCAGGTGTCAGAGGAATATTTCTTGGCGATATCAGCTAGATATTCTAGGGCAGGGAGACGAGCCTTACAGCGGGGCACTCTCCTCCCTCAAGAGGCGTGCTTTCAGGTCAGCGTTTAGCCCTGGGGTCCCGGATGCTCCCAGGTGGCTCAGGCCAGGGGCTTGCCTTGTGCTCCTGCAACCCACCAGGTGCCCGTCTTCATCTGGAGGCGTACCGGAGGGCGCTGCAGGCTTCATGGATCCAAACCAGAATTCCTATTCCCTGCCTCCTCCTCCTCCTCTCTCGGCAGTCCCTTTGTGAATAAAAGGTAGCACCTCTCCCTGCTGCCATAGCAGCACCTGAGGAGTCAACCCTGACTCCTCCCTCCCACATCTGATGGAACACAGCCCTGCTCCTTCCACAGCCTAAATATTTTTACATCTTCTCTCCCTGCCCACAGTCACCACACACAGCCCAGGCCTCTCCATCCTCCCCTGTGTGATCCTGCCCTTCAACCCCTCCTCCCCTCTGTGTGCGCGAGCCTGCAGGAACTTTCCTAGCAACCCTTCGGGGGCAACCCCGTGCTCCATGATCAAGTCCAAACTCCAAAGAGCTTGAGTGACAAGACCCTTTGAGACCCCATCATAGAGGTTGGTCTCCAACAGTTCTGCCTTCCACTCTGTCAGTTCCAGCTGGTTCCCTCACCTCCAGACTTCCCTACACCCCGTTCTCACTGCTCCAGAATCTTAGGTCTCCCCTGTTCCTCACAAAATCCCACAAGAATTGCCTATAGGCATAGTTCCCACTTTTAACAAAATATTTTTAAGAGAGAGAGAGAGAGAGAGAGAGAGAGAGAGAGAGAGAGAGAGAGAGAGATCAATGTGATAGCAAAACATTGATTGGCTGCCTCCTGCACACCCCCTAAGGGGATCGAGCCCAAAACCCAGTCATGTACCCTGACCAGGAATGGAACCAGCAATCTTGGAGAACATGAAATGACACCCAATCAACTGAGCCACACCGGCCAGAGTGACCCCACTTTTTTTTTTTTTAACTGATTCCAGTCAAGCTCCAAGGAACCATTCGTGCCCAGGTCCCCAATGACCTCTTGGCTAAATTCTATCGTCTGGACCCCTAGGCACTTGCTCTTCCCTGACTTGCTTTTTTTTTTGCTTGGCTTCCAGACCATCACACTCTCCTGGCTTTCTCCTCTCTGTCTGCTCCTCCTCAGTTTTCTTTGTAGGTTCTCCTTCATTTCTGCAAACTCTAAATTGTGAAGACTTCGTAGTCCTTTCTTTTCCATCTGCACTCATTCCTGAGTGAGATTTCACCCCTCCTGAAGGCTTCAGAATCAATCCAGCTACATGCTGATGACTCTGAAATAGTTATCCCGGGTCCAGACCTCTATCCCAAACTCCAGACCCGTGTATTCCAACTGCCTACTTGACATCTCCACATGGATATCGAATGGACATTTCAAATTGTACTTATCAATACTGACCTGATCTAACTACCCCCGGACATGCCCCTCCTATAGCTTCCTCCTCTTGTGGCAGGATAGGAAGGAGCTAGGGAAATTCCTTGACAAGTGGAATAAGGGAAACTGAGACAAAATAATTAAACAAGACCAAACAATTTGAGCAGTTTACAACAAGCTAGTGAATCACAAGGTTTTATCTTCCCTGACCAAGGACACTTAGGAGCAAATGGTTTACACCAGCCTCGATCTGGTCCCTCTTCAATAATGTTCGTTAAAAGTAAAACTAACCCCTGATCCCTCTATCTGCACCTTCTGATGAATCAATATATTGAAGGACACACCTGAAAAGCTAATGAATAATCTATTGAGACCCTCTCCTGAGACCTTCCCTAGGATTCCAACGAAAGATAAGAAGCCTCAAGACAAAGGGCTCACAGTGCTCAGCTGGTTTGGCTCAGTGGACAGAGCGTGGGCCTGCAGACTGAAGGGTCCTGGGTTCGATTCCAGTCAAGGGCACATATCTCGGTTGTAGGCTCGATCTCCTGCTGCATGTGGGAGGCAACTAATCAACATGTCTCTCTCACATCGATGTTTCTCTCTGTCTCTCCTCCCTTCCACTCTCTAAAAAACCAATGGGGAGAAAAATGTCCTCAGAGGATCAACATCAACAACAAAAAACACCACAAAGGGCTCCCAGTGAATTCTTGTTAGAGCATGCCTACACCTTGTACTCATTGTCCGTCTCCTCACTAGAATGCGAGCTCCATGAAGGCAGAGACATTTTGGTCCGTTTGGTTTACTGTTATTTTCACAGACCAATGCCTGGCACAGAGTGGTCCCTCAGAATTGCCCGAACTTCCTCGGGGAGGTAATCCCTGACGCAGCTCTCCTCTCTCATCACACCTTCACACTGGTTTCCCATTATTTGTCTCTTTGCTGCTGGTTAGTAAGTTTTGTGGGTTTGCAACCCATCTGTCTGTCCATGGTCCTAGTTCTAGAGCCTGCCGGCATCTGGTACATGCTGGGTACTCAATAAATATATATATTTTTCAAGTATGTTTTCATTGATTTTTTTTTATATTTTATTGATTTTGTACAGAGAGGAAGGGAGAGAGATAGTTAGAAACATCGATGAGAGAGTCATCGATCAGCTGCCTCTTGCACACCCCCTACTGGGGATATGACAGCAACCAAGGTACATGCCCTTGACCGGAATCGAACCCGGGACCCTTCAGTCCCCAAGCCGACGCTCTATCCATTGAGCCAAACCGGTCTCGGCTCATTGATTTTTTAGAAAGAGAAGAAGGGAGAGGGATAGAGAGATAGAAAAAGTGATGAGAAACATTATCGATCGGCTGCTTCCTGCATGCCCCCTGCTAGGGATCAAGCCTGCAACCTGGGCATGTGCCCCTGACATTTTGGTTCCTGGACTGATGCTCAACCACTGAGCTACACCGGCCGGACAATAAATATCTTTTAATTGAAAAAAAAAAAAAAAAAAAAGCAAAACAAATGACCTGCCTGACAGGTTGGCGCGGTTGGTTGGAGCATTGTCTGATGCACCAGGGTTTCAGATTCGATCCCAGGTCAGGGCACGTACAGGAATCAACCAGTGAATGCACGAATGAGTGGCACAAAGAGTCGATCTCTCTCTCAAGTTAATAAATTAAAACAAAATAAAACCCACAATGACCCATGCGCCTGACTGGGTACTCCCAGGAAGTCATGTCTCTCTTTGGCTGGGCTGGTCTCTCAAGGATTCCCTCCCCAGCGTGCCTCTCTCCAAGGGCTTCCCTCGGAGAGAGATGGGCAGAGATGAGAACGTGCCCGGTGAGAAGGGGCGCTGTCGGGGTAACGGGGTGGGGGTGAGGGTCCAGGCGGAAGCAGGGGCCGTACCTGGCGGGCCAGGGGCTGGCTGAGCATCTCCCCGTAGGGGCTGAGCGGGGACCCCGAGTAGTGGCGCAGCAGGTCCTGCAGCCGCGCGTGGGCGCTGTCCTCGCCCAACACCACGTGGCGGCCGTCCCGGAGCTGGGCCAGCAGGAAGTGGCGGCAGCAGGTCCGGCTCCTGGAGGGCCCGGGGGGGGGGGGGGGATCAGACCTGCTCCCAGCACCCCAACCCTCCGGCCGGGCCCCCAGCATCCCAACCCTCCCTCCCAGCCGGGGCCACCAGCACCCCAACCCTCCCAGCCGGGGTGTCCCACTCTCAGGGGCGGGATGGTGGGGCTGAGGAGGGCCCAGCGAAGAGCCCCTCACACCTCCGCCCCCGGCCCCGCCCTCTGATTGGCCCGCTCGGAAGCCCACTTCCGGTCGGGCGGCCCGCCCACCTGTAGGTCAGCACGAAGGCCACGGCGCTCTCGCTGAAGCGCACCAGGTAGCGCCCCTGCGGCTCGGCCTCCAGCAGCCTCTCGGCCTCTCTGAGGGGACGGAGAGGAGACAGGACGGGGCGCTGACTCTCCCAGCCGCCTCCCTGCTTCCCGGGCTCTCCGGGGGACCCGCCCCGGAGCAGGTGACCTGAGGTGGCCAGAGAAGGCGGGTGGGCGGGAGAGGATGTGGGCGCTGCTCTTCCGCCGCAGGGCAGGGCCCGGGCGTGGACCGGACCCAGAGGGCCCACCCGGGGGCGACGCCCGGCCTGAGGGCCGCTGGCTGTGGGCTGGCGGGTGCGAGGAGTGGCGGTGGGTGGGGTGGTGGAGCGGGGAGTGAGGTGACAAAAGTCAAGCTGACAGAAGTGAAGCGGAGAGATGGAGGAGGAGGTGGGAACTGCGAGGGCGGCCAGAAAGAGGAGGGGGCTGGGCGAGCGCCTGGGAGACAGGTAGAAACCATGCGGGTTAGGAGGCCTTAGATACAGGAGGATGATTGAGTCTAGAGAGGGGAAACCGAGGCACAGAGGGGATTGGACTGGAGCCTCTCCAACCATCTCCAGGAGACGTTCCTTGCGGGGTGGCCTGGGAGCCTCCCGGAGTCGTGGCCTGGACGGGTAGCCCCAATCTACACCGCCTGACTGGCTGCGGCCCCAGGCCTGGCCCCTGCCGCCTCTGGGCCCGTTTCCTCTCGGTGACTCACCTCCGAGTGATGAAGCCGTGGAACCAAGGCGGGGCGGCCCCGTGCTGCAGGAGCCCCTGGGCCTGGGTCTTCTGGAACCACGCCCGGGTCTCGGCCTGCAGGGACTGGCCTCCTTCCTGAGGCACCTCCTCGGCCTTTCCCGCATCCCCTGGACTGGAGGCGGCCCCCGGGGCCTGGGGAGATGCCTGGTCAGGGGAGGCGTTCAGGGAGGGAAAGTCGCCATGATTAGTGGGCCCTCTCTGGACTCCAGGCCAGCGGCCACCTTCTCATCCTCGTCCCCAGGCCCTCCGGGGCGCGGGGGGAGGTCCCCAGCCCCCAGCCCAGTTGCCCAGAAAGTCCTTCCCACCCAAGGGGTAACTTAATCCGTCTCCAGCTCCAGTTGTTCTGGTTTCTGGGAAATTTCTTCCTACTTCCCTCCGGGCCTTTAAGCCAGTAGCGACAAGCTGTTGAATTTTGCTTAAACGGGGTGACGTCTTCCAGGTGGACAGGAAGCCATGCCCTGGCCTGGAGGGTGAAGCCCCAGAGGCCAGGATAAGGGAGAGTTGGCCCTACAGCAGGAGGGACGGAGCAGGTGGGCCGGGAGGATCTTCCACCCACTGGGTAGGCTGGAAGGACTGAGGTGGGGGTGTGCCAGGCCAACAGAAGCCGCGGATCCAGGCACCATTGCCTGCTTCCAGGGCTTGGTCCACTCCCTGTGCCCTGGTCACCGGGGACTCCGCTGAGCACAGGGAGGAGGGATTCCCATCTCCTCTTCCTCTCTGTGCGCCCGCGCCTGTAGGCAGCCCCAGCCCGCTCCTGCCTTCTCCCATTGGCCTTTGTCCATCTGTGTGTCCTCACCCGCGGGAGGCTTGAGAGCGGGTGAAGGAGCGGTACCCCAGGTTCCCACTCACCGCGGCGTGGACATCTGGGGCTCTGGGGCTGACCTGGGCCTCTTCAGCCCGCGGGGCCTGGGGTCTGGTCTCCTTAAGCAAACCCTGGCAGCTTTTTCGAGTCAAGTCTGAGGGCTGGAAGGTGGTGAAGGTCGAAGTGGGGGGTTTGTAACCTCCTGTTGGCACAAAGAGGACAGCGGGGCTCTCAGTGAGGGACTGCCTCTCTCTGCTGCCCATCCCTCCCCCAGGCTTAGAGGTCCCTCTGACCGGGGACCTGGAGGCCAGGGACAGTCATGACAGCGGGAGAAATGCAGGCAGGACAGTGGGGGTGGGGGGAGAAGGGGAGTTTATCAGGGAAGAGGAGTGTGGAGCCAGTGAGGCGAGGAGGGGCTGAGCATCAGAGGGGCTGGCTGGGAAAACAGCACAGGAACAAAGGTGGATGTCAGCTGGTCTGGTGGCTTGGACGTCAGACCCACAGTTAGGGAGCTGAGGCAGATCACTTTATTTAAAAAAATATAATTTTTTTATTGATTTCAGAGAGGAAGGGAGAGGGAGAGAGAGTAGAAACATCAATGATGAGAGAGAATCATCCATTGGCTGTCTCCTGAAGGCCCCATCCAGGGATCGAGCCAGCAACCTGGGCCTGTGCCCTGACTGGGAATTGAACTGGGACCTCCTGGTTCATAAGTCCATGCTCAACCACTGAGCCACGCTGGCCGGGCTAGGCAGATCTCTTTAGTGCAGCCCCTCTTCTGGCCTCGGGTCTCCTGGCTTCTCCCTTCTCTCCTCCCTCCTCCCTAAGAAGCACACAGCAGACCTTGCCACCTTTGTTCTCGGGGCTGAGGGCATCTGCAGTCAGTCCCAGAGAAGGAGAAGGGGTGTGGGCCCCCTGCCAGCTCTGGCTTGGGGTGGGGTTCTGGCCCAGGAGAGAGCAGGGTGTAGGGGTCTCGTTGTCCCCTCCCACCCACATTTAAGCACCACACTTACCTTGGGGGCTTATCTGGGCCAGGGGGAGCTCCATGGGGGCGGCCTAGATGGAGCCCAGGAGCCGGGTGTGTGTCTGCTCTCAAAAGGTGTGCACCCTCAGCAACTCTTCTCTCCCCCCTGCCCCCGGCAGGAAATGTCGCTCTACCCACAACCCTAGCCCTAGCAGAGGACCCGCGTCATGGAAAGCCATAGACAGTTGTCCCGCCCCCGGAAGTCAGGCAGCTGAAGGTGGTGGTGGTGGGACGGTGGGTGTTGGTGTCAGTCACACTGTGTCTAGGGTGTTAGGCAGTCCACACTGCTACCTGACCTCCACCCCCCCTGATTCTTTCTTTACTCCCTCACTCCAGACTGGGACTTGCCTTTCTCTCTCTGTCTCTGTCTCAGCTTCTGCTCTGAGCAGTGGCAGTGGGGATATCAACCTTAGAAAGATAAGCCCTAGAAGGTGCTCAGGCTTCGTACTCCGTGGAGATTTAGACTAAGAATTATGTTCTTAGGACACTCGAGGAGGGGAGCAGGCAGGGCAACAATAGGAAGATGTGGGTCAGACTTATGGAAGGACGTTTTGAGGTCTTATGAAATCTGTGAGACAAAGGGTAGGGAGGAGGGGCCTGGCCTCCTCCAACAGATACAGAAGCGGGTTGGGGCAAACCAAGCAATCCTGGAGGAAGGAGGGAGGATTCCCTCCAGCTAGGCAGACTGTCGTTAATAGTAACACCACTAGCATTGTTAGTAACGAACTTCAATGCTGGTATCTCGCCGTGGGCTTGTGTCTCCGGCTGTACTAGAGGACCAATCCCATTTCTCTCTCACTTGATCCCTCACAAATGAGAAGGAGATGGGGAACATTATCCCGGTTTTCCAGAAGGGAAATCTGGAGCTCAGGGAAGTGCCTGAGCCAGGGTTTTCCAGTGTCTCTGAAGCTGGTGACAGAGTTGGAACAGAATCTAGATCTCTTCCTAATCTCACTGTGACTTAGGCCAGCGGTCCTTGGCCATGTGCCAGGCACTGTTCTTGGTGCAAAGAATGCAGAGAGAAAAAGGATCTTGTTTCAAGATGTCAGGTGGCACGACTCTGTCGATAGAAAACCTTAAAGACTCCACCAAAAGACTATTAGAAACAATAAACAAAAACAGTAAATTTGCAGGATACAAAATTAATGTACAAAAATCCACTGCTTTCCTATATACGAACAAGTTCCTAAGACTTCAAAAATGAATGAAAAAATACTTGCTTTTGCAATTGCAACCAAAAGAGTAACAAAGGATGTGAAGGACCTATATACTGAAAATGACAAAGCATTACTAAAAGGGATTGAAAAGACATAATGAAATTAAAAGCTATTCCATGTTCATAGATTGGAAGAATCAACATAGTTAAAATGGCCACCCCATCAATGAGCCACTGGTTGAGAGTTGACCTATGAACCAGGAGGTCAGGGTTCAATTCCTGGTCAGAGCACATGCCCAGGTTGCAAGTTCCATTCCCAGTAGGGGGTGTGCAGGAAGCAGCCGATTATTATTTTTCTCTCATCATTGATTTTTTCCCCCTCTTTCTCCCTCTCTCTGAAAGCAATAAAAACATATTTAAAAAATAATATGGCCATATTACCCAAAGAAATATTGATAGACAGATTTAATAAATCATCAAAATTCCAATGTCATTTTTATTGTTGTTAATCCTCACTCAAAGATATTTTCCCATTGATTTTTAGGAGAGTGGAAGAGAGAGGGAAAGAGCCAAAACCGGTTTGGCTCAGTGGTAGAGCGTCAATCTGCAGACTGAAAGGTTCCGGGTTCGATTCCGGTCAAGGGCATGTACCTTGGTTACGGGCACATCCCCAGTAGGGGGTGTGCAAGAGGCAACTGGTTGATGTTACTCTCTCATTGATGTTTCTAGCTCTCTCTCTCCCTTCCTCTCTGTAAAAAATCAATAAAATATATATATATATTTTTTTTTTAAAAAAAGAGAGAGAGAGGGAAAGAAAGAGTGAAACATCGATGTGAGAAACTCATCAATTGGTTGCACATGCCCTGACCAGGGCCTGGGTGAAGGAGGAACCTGCAACCAAGGTATGGCCCTTGCCCAGAATCGAACCTGGGACCCTTTGGTCTGCAGGCCAATGCTCTACCCACTGAAACAAACTGGTTAGGGACCAATGTAATTTTTTTTTAAATTTTTAAAGAAATAGAAAAAAAATTGTCAGATTTGTATGGAATTACAAAAGATCCTGAATAGCCAAAGCAATCCTGGGGGAAAAAGAATGAAGCCGGAGATATCACACTACCTGACTTCAAATTATACTACAGAGTTATGATAATCAAAACAGCAAGGTATTGGCAAAAGAACAGACACACAGGCCAATGGAACAGGGTTGAGAGCCCAGAAATAAAACTACATTATATGGACAGATAATTTTCAACAAAGGAGCGAAAACCACACAGTGGAGTAAAGAAAGCCTCTTCAGCCGAAACCGGTTTGGCTCAGTGGATAGTGTCGGCCTGCAGATTGAAGAGTCCTGTATTCGATTCCGGTTAAGGGCATGTACCTTGGTTGTGGGCACATGCCCTATAGGGGGGTGTGCAGGAGGCAACTGATGATGTTTCTCATCGATGTTTCTAGCTCTCTATCCCTCTCCCTTCCTCTCTGTAAAAAATCAATAAAATATATATTTAAAAAAAGAAAGCCTCTTCAATACATGGCGCTGGGCAAATTGGAAAGCCACATGCAGAAGAATGAAACTAGATTATAGTTTGTTCTTTTGAACAAAAAATTAATTCAAAATGTCTCAAAGACCTGAATATGTGATCTGAAACAATAAGGTACATAAAAGAAAGCATAGGAACTAAACTTATGGACCTTGGTCATAGAGAACATCTTATGAATTTGACCCCAAAGGCAAGAGAAGGGAAGGCAAAAATAAATGATTTTTAGAGAGAGAGGAAGCGGGAGAGAAAGAGAGAGAATTTGATTTGTTGTTCTGCTTATTTATGTGTTCATTAGTTGATTTTTTTTTTTTCACAAGAAACATTAGTTGATTGTTATATGTGCCCTGACCAGGGATGGAACCTGCAACCGTGGCATATTGGGACGATTGGGCTACGTGGCCAGGCCTCATGCAACTTACTTATACATTCTGGAGCAGCTCAGCCTGGCCCCGGGGTATCACATGGTGAGTTCCTGCTTTGCTTGTCCTACGTTATGACTCCTGGATCAGATAACATTCAGCTTTATGGGGGTCAGCTCGGGTTGAATACCAGTAGCTATTTTTCAGATGTAACTCAGTCAGAGAGGGCATGACCTTGTTCCAGAACCTCCGGGGATGTGCTGCAATGCTCCATCAGAACTTGCCGGAGACGCCACACAGCATCCTTCTCTGCCGCCGCCGGCATTTCTAGCCCCACTAGACATGCTGGGTCACCGGGCCCAAGAACTAGAGCAGCTGGTTCACAGTCCGGAGCGGCTGCAGGGGCACCTGAGTCTGGGCTGCACTTGAAACTGTCAGCCTTCGGTGTCCCCCAATAATTAGTCCGAAGTGGTATTCTCAAGCTCTGCCTACCTTGCCTCCAAAATTCAGAGGCCAAGTGAATGCTGCGCCTCTTTTTTAGGGCTGGGAACTGCAGGGTGCAGCATCTTGTCCTTGCCAGCAAGCTGCAGACCGGGGCTTTTAGGAAGGAGTGGTGATCCAGGGCATCTGAGATCTGTGTCTAGGGTAGCTTGGACAATGCACGCTATGGATATGCCTTTCTTTTCTCTCTCTCTTTTTTTAAAAAAATATATATTTTATTGATTTTTTTTTTTTTTTTACAGAGAGGAAGGGAGAGGGATAGAGAGTTAGAAACATCGATGAGAAACAGCATCAGTTGCATACCCCCTACTGAGGATGTACATGCCCTTGACCGGAATCAAACCTGGGACCTTTCAGTCCGCAAGCCGATGCTCTATCCACTGAGCCAAACCGGTTTCGGCTGAATATGCCTTTCTTTGCTCTTTTGCTCCTCCCGTCTGCTGTCAGGGAGCAAAACGGATGAGGTTTTGTTTTCACCAGCTCGTCCTTTGTGTCTAGACTTTACCAGTAGCCTACTATTACCTTGTGTAATAAATCACTATGTTATAAATGACTGCCAAGGGCTGGCCTTGTGTTTTTTGAGGATTTACCTGGCGCCACTTCACAAGTAGGAGAACTGAGGTCAAGGCCAAGAGACTTAGCTTCAATCGCATGGTGAGAACATTAGTCTCAACGGGGAGCTTCCGCTGAGGACTTGTAGGCTCTGTGGGTGAGGAGAGAGTGTTTGCTGTGGGCCTGCACGGTGCTGAGTGCTTTGCAAGGATGCGCTCATCCACCCTCTACCAGGCTGATGATGACGATGCTCATTACCGCGCCCGCTTTGCAGAGTGCGGTAATGAGACTTCCTGGTAGGGAGGATAAGGTCAAGGTCACACAGTAGGGAAGGGGTCAGGAGAACAAGGTGGTCCGACCTCACATCACAGATTGCCATCTTCCCCATCACCCACCATTTGATTGATCGGCAGGAAGTGGGGGCCATCTCAGTGCGGGCCCCTAAAATGCCAGGGCTCCGTGCTGCATGGCCGGAATTACGCTTCGCACAGCCCACTTCTGGAAACTGCCTGACACTTTGTGATAATTGCAATGGAAGCATTTTTCACTTTTAAAATGGAATCACTCTCTCTCTCTGTGTGGAGGCCTGGGCCCAGGCCTGCAGCGCTGGCATGGGGAGGGTTTTCTCAGCTCCAGGTGCAGCTGGCCATCGCCCAGCCGCCCTGTCCAGGCACAGCCAGGCTTTTGGGCCGCCAGCACCGCACGTGCGTCTCCACGTTTCGTCGGACCAGTGTTCCTGGGAGAGCCTGAGCCTCGGAGGCTGTGGTTGCTGCTCACCCCTGTTTGTATGTCAGCCCCTTCTGCCTTAGGCCAAGGTCCTGGGGCGAGTCGCTTGATCTCTGCGCTTGGAAGTGCCTCCCCTGGAAGATGGGAAAGGTCACCTCTGTGGAAGGAGGCTCAGACAAGCGTTTGGGGGC